TCAATTCGAGATGGGCTTCATCTCGAGATTAAGCCCACTGGGCTTAAATTCAAGGTTTTACGTTATTTGATGGTTAAATGTATGAATTAGCATCTTCGTGTATTTGTTAATTTGTAAAGAAACTATTTTTTAATTGTAATTTTTAATCAAGAGCTAGTAACTTAGATATCAGGAAACGTTTGTGAATGATGGTTAAATTAGGCTTTTGAACAAGCCCAGGAGACGGGACACAAATTCTAAGGACACCATTCTGTTGTACACTTCTGTTTTCTCCACCCTTTCCTCAAATTACAGAGGAATCTTAGTAGCATTAGTACAGGACTACTACCATTATACATGTGATTTCCTATTCTTAGCATGGAGGTATAAATTTTCTTAGTAAACATTATGGAGCATTGCAATAATAAACAGTTTGTTAATTTCCTTTCTCTTGTAAAATTTCATTCCTCTTTGTCTTTCTTTGATGCATTAATTCTCTTCTGTAATTGTCTTATTATCTTATTAATTGTGTTTACATAATTTGCTCTTTCATGAGACAACTTAGCAATTACTGTTTGTCCTTTGGGGCTTGTTTAATGAGCTAGAAGTCAATTGATCCCTCAAATATAAACTTTCCTGGACTAGAGGGTGTCAGACATAAAATATTGCATTGTATTTCTACCAGATTTCTTTAATTTATTAAATATTCTTCCAAGTGCTTTTTGTGGTGTGCTGTACCCAGGTGGGCCATGTTTTTTACCCTTTCATTTTCTTTTACTAAATCATTATTCAGCTGTTATTCTGTGTAATAATCAGTGGCGGATCCAGAAATTTGAAATAGATGGCCAAGTGAGGCCTTTCGCAGATGGGAGGTCTATACCACCTCAGCTCCGCCACGGTTGGGACTGAGGTTAATAAAATTTATGACTTACAATTTGAATATGTTTTTCTTCTTTTATCCATTTAAATTATTATTTTTTTACCGGGTACCTGGGCTGGCTGCCCCCCCCCCCCACCCAACTTGAATCCGCCACTGATAATTGGTAAAGCACCAAATGATAACCAGAAAGTTTGTGGCTTTGATCCCTATTCAAATAAATAGTTGATTTTTGCAGTTGTGTTTTGTCCATGGGATGTGCTCGTTTAGCCTGTGGGCACCATATTCTGTTCTGTAACCTTCTATTATATCTTGTTAAAATGCAATACAATCTCATGTCCATCAGGTGTCCAGTTGAGGTCATACTACCTGCAAGGCTTGGCTGTACCACAGACCCTATTGACTACACCAAATAGTTACAAAAGTGTAGTTCAACATAAACAGGGAGGTTTTATAATTAGTACAAGGTTTATATTAAATTCGTTTTCAATTGTAAATCAGAACTCTGTTTTCAACATGTCTCAGTACAAGTGGTGAAACAGAATGTTTTCAAACTGTAATTATTTAACCTTTTGTAATCAGCAATTTTTTAAAATAATTTTTAGTAGAGTACTTTAAAACCTTAAAATGAAGCCCTTGGCTTCTTTTTTTTTTTTGTTAACTTTGGATGGGCTTCATTTTGAGGCTACTTTTGCAAATTTAAGAAGGGGGGGGGGCTTCTTTTCAAAATGAATGCTGTAAATTTTGTGAATTTGTACTATAAAACATGCATAAGGTGACTGTAACATCAATCTGTATCATGGAGTGTATTTAACTGGCATTAAATCACCTAAACTACTTTATAAAACAAGCTTGTTTTTAAGTTATTTTGTTTTTTGAAATTCATGTACAGTGTATGTACTGTCCCATGGGCTTCTTTTCAAGGCTGATTTTGCAATTTAAAGGGGGGGGGGGCACGCTTCAATTCGAGATGGGCTTCATCTCGAGATTAAGCCCACTGTGCTTAAATTCAAGGTTTTACTTTATTTGATGGTTAAATGTATGATTTAGCATCTTCGTGTATTTGTTAATTTGTGAAGAAACTATTTTTTAATTGTAATTTTTAATCAAGAGCTAGTAACTTAGTTATCAGGAAACATTTGTGAATGATGGTTAAATTAGGCCTTTGAACAAGCCTAGGAGACGGGACAAAAATTCTAAGGACATCATTCTGTTGTACACTTCTGTTTTCTCCACCCTTCCCTCAAATTACAGAGGAATCTTAGTAGCATTAGTACAGGACTACTACCATTATACATGTGATTTCCTATTCTTAGCATGGAGGTATACATTTTCTTAGTAAACATTATGGAGCATTGCAATAATAAACAGTTTGATAATTTCCTTTATCTTTTAAAATTTCATTCCTCTTTGTCTTTCTTTGATGCATTAATTCTCTTCTGTAATTGTCTTATTATCTTATTAATTGTGTTTACATAATTTGCTCTTTCATGAGACAATTTAGCAATTACTGTTTGTCCTTTGGGGCTTGTTTAATGAGCTAGAGGTCAATTGATCCCTCAAATATAAACTTTCCTGGACTAGAGGGTGTCAGACAAAAAATATTGCATTGTATTTCTACCAGATTTCTTTAATTTATTAAATATTCTTCCAAGTGCTTTTTGTGGTGTGCTGTACCCAGGTAGGCCATGTTTTTTACCCTTCCATTTTCTTTTACTAAATCATTATTCAGCTGTTATTCTGTGTAATAATCAGTGGCGGATCCAGAAATTTGAAATAGATGGCCCAGTGAGGCCTTTCGCAGATGGGAGGTCTATACCACCTCAGCTCCACCACGGTTGGGACTGAGGTTAATAAAATTTATGACTTACAATTTGAATATGTTTTTCTTCTTTTATCCATTTAAATTATTATTTTTTTACCGGGTACCTGGGCTGGCTGCCCCCCCCCCACCCAACTTGAATCCGCCACTGATAATTGGTAAAGCACCAAATGATAACCAGAAAGTTTGTGGTTCAAATCCAAAAGAGCAAATATAATGTATTCAAAATATTGTATAACATTGTTATTTCAAGTTTGTGGTAAAGAATGTATTTATTCTTACATATTATTTTTGCAGGAATATATATTGGATAGAATGGGGTGATGAATCCAGGATCCAATCTGCAACCCTGGATGGGTCAAACCCAAAAGTCATTGTCCAGGGTAGTCTCCTTAGACCTTCAAGCTTAGCTATTGATGTAGTGGATAAGCGGTTATTCTGGATTGACAACGAAACCAAAATTATTGAGTCCGTTAATCTAGATGGTACAAGCCGGGAAACCATAGCAACTGATTTAAAGTATGATACTATTTTTTAATTGTCCAGAAAAAAAGCATTCTGAAAAATTAATATTTTAATTATAATTTAATTAAGTCTTCAAAATGAGTATTAAAATATTTAAGAAAATAACAATAAATCAAGTTCAAATATTATATTAATTTTTTTTTAGTAATTGAATTGAGGCATATTTTAAGTTATCTTATCAGTATAAAAATTTGAAAATTACTATAGTGCATTAAAGTATAAATTTTTAATTTAATAAAATATTAAAAAATGATTAAAGTAGGAAATAATATTGGTAAATTAAATATTAGATCATATTAGTATTTTAATTAAGTAGGTTGTTACTAATTAATCAATTTATCTCTTTATTTAATATCTTAACAAAGATTAAAACATGATGATCAAAGTGGCCATGTGAACATAAGCAAAACATTTTTACTTAATTTCACCAGTAATGCTCTTGTGGGCTTGTCTGTGTTTGCTGACCAGATATTGTGGACAGAGCATGAATCTTCTCTCATCCAACGTGCTGATAAGTATACTGGTAAACGAGTTGACATCCGTGTCAGCAACACCGGAATCACAGTCAATCCTGTCTGCTTAAAAGTTATGCACATTCTTCAACAACCATTCTCAGACCCTCTAGGTTTGTCAAAATTCATACCACATTACATCCTCAGATTTATAGACTGATAATCTATAATCATTTATATTGTCAAATTCAAGGTAAAAACTGTAATAGTGTAGGATCCCGTTGTGATGTATGCAGTTAACAAAAGAATTTTAACCAAAAAAAATCCTTAAACTAAACCTATTCCTAAAACTAAACATGGTGTTTGCCAAGGTGCTCATTCACCCTTAGTATAATTGTTCTTACAAGTCAATGTATATTTTCTGAAATCAGTCAGCTAAATTTAAATATTTTCAATAGTGTCCCCTCATTACAATCCTTTTAAGTGTGTTAAATGAGCAATTCTGTGTTGTTATTGAATTTTTGAGTGGTTTTTTTTAAAGATTTACAACAGACTGAGAATCAACTATACTTTGATTCATTATAAATGTTTAGGTTTTAATTGTACAAGACTGAATAACAAATGCATAACAGTACAGACAAATCACATTCATATCACATTTATCTTTTAATATTACATGCGTACTAAGTAAGTAAAGCATTTATCATTAATGTGTTTAACATTGTAAATTAAAATCACCATTTTACCAACACAGATTATTGTCTTTACAGCTGGCTACAATTGTACACTAAATTTAAGTTGCGACACAGATGAAGCAGGTGAATCTACCAACAATCCATTCATCATATTCTCAAATGCTCGCAGCATCCATCGTATAGACTTCTATGGCCGGGATTATCAGACTATTGTCAGTGACAACGTCGAGAACGTCTTGTCTTTGGACTACAACCCAAGAGATGATGCAATATATTTTGCCGATGCATCGTTGAAGAGGATAGAGCGGGTGAATCTTGATGGGACAGAACGTACAATTGTTGTAGATACGGATATCGACAGTATTGAAGGTCTTGCTGTTGACTGGATACATGGAAAACTTTGCTGGACTGATTCAGGGTAAAAAATCATTTCATTTTGAACATACAGATCTGCTTTCAATGCATTCGTAAATAGAAAAATTCTTCTTAATCCTAGTGAAGCGTAAGTGTGTGATATAATAGCGATCAATTTAGGGCGGACTTTTGCGACATCTTCTTGTATAAATTGTTTATTTTGAGAACATTAGCAATAAACAAAACATGATTTTCATATTCCATCTGTTTAGATCCTTGATTTTATTTACAGAGATTTTAAATTAGAAAAGCATGTTCTCTAGTTATACATTTTGATATGTTATTTGTTTATGTGGATAGAGATTTTCCAAAATATTGGTTTGTGAAGGCAGATTGGCACAGCGATCTTCATTTAGGTTCTGAACCTCGTTGTCGAGGGTTCAAATCACACACACTGATCATTCTCAGCCCACCATGAACTGTCGATGGGCTGTGAAGTTACTCTATGCTATGTTTCAGCCCTAGGTGTGAGTATTTCATAGCTTATAAATTAATTAAATACTTTGTGGCCGCTTTTTGTCAACATTTACGGTAAGATCAGGCCTGATATATCATGATAAAAAAAATTATCTACATTCCACATGTTTTTTATTCTTCTTTATCTATTTTATAGAAAAGTGTGGGTGGCTTGCAGTTCTTTATCGGGTACCAACATGAAGGTTATAGCTGGCAACCAGATAGATAAGCCTAGAGGCATTGCTATTCACCCAGCTCTAAAGTGAGTATACCGCCCTCTTTATGCTAACTTATTATCATAGTATAATGGCCAAGTTTTATGCAATCTAAAGTATCCCCTCTGTAGTTTTAAAACTCTTTACAAATTTAACAAAACACAACATCTATAAAAAACAATTATTCAATACAGAAGTGAAAGGTTACTTAAACAGATAACTACAAAAAAAAATATAAATGACTTGCGCTATAAAAATGATTATGTACAAATTGAATTCTTAATAACTATTGCATAACAGATAACAGATATAAATGACATACTTTTAAAATGATTATGTACAAATTGAATTCTTATTGATTATCATTAATATAATTACTGCATTATTATTAAAATTTATATTTACAGACTTGGCCTCTTTTTGGCTATGCTAGTTTAATAATATAATCTTTTTGGCTATGCTAGTTTAATAATATAATAATTACTGTATATTAATAATAATAATGATTAATGAAATAATAGTTAGTCAGTCAGAGGGCTTATTCGCAACCATGGAACACTTTAAAGATTTTCAGCAGTGCCTTACCACGGCCACTTTTTTTTGTAAGGGACATCGGCACACCCCCCTCCCCCGGACCTCACATCGGGCAAATAATGGCGCCACCACTGGGCTTATTTGTGGTTATACTATGTATACTAAGCCTGAAGGTGCTGCTTTCCTATGGCGGCCATCTCGTTGAATACACATACACATCTCTGCATTGCTTTGTCGCCTAGTGAGCACTATAGCTGTTTAATAGCTCTATGATTTTGTCGCATTATTTGTTTTTGATAATTTTGATCCCGTGTGCATAATTATGGCCCATGTGCATGTTAAAAAACGCAGTACACTTTTGTGGAAAGAGTATGGGATTGTCTCCCGGTATACTGCCCAATATTTTTATATTTGTCATTTTTTATATCTGGAAATTGTAACCATTTGTTGTAATTCAGTTTTTAACTACGATACATTTTAGAATAAACCTTAAATAAATAAATACCACTGGACCCCATCGGAAATAAGTCTTCTTCAGACTTTTGTGGGTTATCCTTAGTGTTTACACCAAATAAATCCATCTATCCATCTTAACTGTATGCTTTCCTATCTTATCAGTCATGTAAGTGGATCTATTTGATATTGTTATATTGCATTCATTGTACTGTATTATTCAAAGTTGTATGCTAAAATATTCAACACTTAATGGAAACATATTGGTTCTATTCACATGCTGGGGGAAAAATATGTGCTGACTGGATTCCTGAATGCACTATCCTGAATCAACATCACTTATTAAATGCCATCATCACTAGGCTGCTATCAGCTTTTATTGCTATTATTATAATTGTCTAAAGCTTGCTTAATCATAATATCTTTTATAGTGCATGTGTCAACAAGGCTTTTATGCACTTCACATTAATGACCAGGACATAGAATAAACACTGATGCAACACATATAGCTCCCAAGGGGATAACTCCAAAATGCTTCAGCTAGTAATCAGCACATAAGCCTACCGGGTACCTAATTATACTCTTTGGAGGAGAGAGACAACCACACTATAGTTAAAGCTGTGTGGTTGAGGTGCTGGCCTACCAATCCCAGGGTCATGGGTTCAATTTCTGTCAGTTTTGCAGGATTTTTTTTTTCATAGGACCAAAACAACTCCGCTCCCTAAACCTCATATTGAGATTTAGTTTGTGTAAAGCATCATGTGTATGTTTGACCTGTGAAAAGGGATTGAAATGCTTGCACCAAGGGCTGACACATAGCTTGAGCCACTTCACAGCCTATCAACAATGCAAGTTGGGGTATTTAAGCATGGCCGACCAAGATTGGTCAGCGTGTAGTTTGAACCCCTGACTACAAGTTCAATAACCAGAATGGAGACCACTGAGCCTAACCACCTTGTCTGAATATGGATTTATGTTAGCTTTCAATTGAAAATTAGAATGAAAAAATAGATGCATTTAAGTTCATGGTTAAAATATTATCTTAAATAAACAATTAATATTGAATTGTTAAGACACATTTTTATGTGACAAATAACTGATATACCCATGTTTGGGTATATGACATCATTATGTCCATATATGGGTACATCACACACACTCATGTTCCTTGTAAAGGCTAAGAGAATTTGTATTCTTGGGAAAAAGCACTCTACATTGTCTCTCTCCACTCAGGAGTACAAGTGGGTTCCTGGTAGGTGTGAATGTCAATGTTAAATTGCAGAAGCCATAAAATGAAACATTCCCCAGGGAACTGAATACTGTATTTATTCAAATAAACGCTCTCCTTGAATAAGCTCCCCCTCCAGAGCCTCATTTGAAATACTTGTTACTTGCATAACGCCTTTCTTTTCAGTTACGAAGCGCTGTAAGCAACTCTCCACAATAAGTCAAAAACATCCCCCACTCCCGAGTAAAGCTTGCAGAAAACCAAACTCAAGCAAAGTGTGCTAACTGAACTAATGCAATATAGCAGTAGAAAAATGAGAAAACAAACAAAACCATACGCTCTAAGCATTGTGAGAGGACTATTAAAAAAAGGGGTGTTTTTAGATGGGCTTTGAACTGCCTAAGCGAATCACAAGGTCTGAGAGAATTAGGCAGATCATTCCAAAGTTGCGCAGCAATTGAAGGGAATGAATTGTCACCAATACATTTATGGTAGACCGGTCGAACAAGTTGGATGAATTTGGAAGATCTTGTTAAGCACACATGGGTACGTAGTGTTAATAGATAATTGGAAATATACAAAGGGCAGATGCCAGAATGTGATTTGAAAACAGAGAGGAGAAGTTTGAATTTAATTCTTTAATTCTTCTCCTGTACAGGCAACCAATAAACGCCTCCTCTGATAAACACCCCCCCACCCCACATCTATGGAAGCAGCATCATTCTCAACACATTCTATTCATATTTTACTCCAGTGAAATGACATTTTCTCTAACCTGGTTGGAATCAATAATTCTTCATGATCATGAATTATGAATGAATTATGTGTTGTAGCTCTACATTACAGTGAAATAAAGTGCTGTTTATTTGAGTATATGTACCCATTTTACACACACACAAAAATAAATAAATTAATTAAAAAAAATATATGCCTCCTCCAACAATACATGACCCATGGCATTTATTTGAATAAATAACTAAATAAATACGGTATGTGTTCTGTAAAGCCAAGCGCTCACGGCGTCATTCGACAGCCACACGACAAATTGAAACCCCCTCCCCCCACCCGTGAGCGGTAGACAACATGACGCTGTATGCTGATTGCCGGTGGCAGTCTGAACTCATCGTCATTAAAAACAATCTGTTGCATAGAATCGCATTTGGCCGATGACTGTTGGGGCGTAGTGAGTGTGCCCGGCTTAAGTGGTCAATTCAATAAATAATATAAAGCGCAGAAACCTTGACATGCGCAAAAGACCAAAACAGTATATTATTAGTAGTACTTCAGAGTCATACATTAAAAACTATTACAATGTTAAAATAAAAGTGTGCTGCTATAATTATGACACATGCATTACTTAGCCAGTTACCAGACACTGCGTTCTGCTTACCAGAGGTCTCTGATGTCATCTCCCCCTTCCCTTCTCCCACCTGCAATAATAGTAAGTCTATTTTAAGGTTGATGAGAGTTTCATTCTGCTTTCCAACCCTTTTATAATAGGTTTCTGGGTCAAGTGAATCAGATCTGAAATTTTCATCACCTTTTTATTGCGATCCATATCATGGTAATACCTGAAGGACTTGTGTGTTTTTTTCTGACATTTTTAAGAACAATGTTTTGCAGTCCATTTTTTAAAACTTCTTTGTATGTGCCCTGAAAAAGTCTAATCGTATAAAAGTTTTAACAGCATTAGAAAAGAAACAGACATAAAAACTGAAATAAAAATGTCTGAGAAAGGGCACCAGGAATGATTCAGTGCTCATAAAAAAAGGGGTGAATATACCTTTCCCCCTTATTAATTTGGACAAATTGCTTCTCTATGAACAGAGTTGTATTGAGCAGTACTTCTAGTACAAGTAGTAATAAGGAAATAAGTAAATAAAATAAATATTTCTTAAGGATAACCTATTATTAAAATATTGTAATCATCACTTTCACTAATCATAACTATAAGATGTCATTGACAAGCTGCCTTGAGGGGTAATTGCGCATGTAGATTTTAATTGTATTTGACATTTTGATTGTACCTATCGTTTTGTCCTCAATCAACAGAAGCTGTACAGCTTCATGATATATTCTGTCATCCAACTTCCTGATTTTAATTTTCTAATACTTTGATGATTTTAAATCTGATAATGAATTTATCATTTGACCATATTCAAATCATGATTGTGTGTGCGTCAGCTAGTTTCCTGCCTTGTGTAATCATATATCTTCTCAATGGCAAACTTGATGTTTTGAGGAAGTTAGAAATCATAAAATTATTATATTATTTAACAACATATTAATATTATTGCTGTCTTTATTTTTCTGGGTTTTCAAAAGCCTGCACACATGATCATACTCAAACCAATAATAACATTTGTACAGACTTCCCTAATGAATTAGAACATTGTCCATCTTTCAAAAGACAACTTTTTTTATCAGATATTTCTGGGGAAATACATACACATACTATCAAAGTCATGTTTGTCAAGCAAATAATATAATTTATTCAGAGTCTGCATGGTTGATAATATTATTTGTTCAAAATAATTCTGAACAAATATTATTCTGACAAACATAACAATTATTTATTGTAGCTTCCAATAGACATTGAATAATTAATGACAAGATTTTATTTCATCAGATGGTCTTTGAAACAAGCATCCACTATCAAACTCTGACCATGAAGTTTGATAGCTCTGTGGTATGATCATACATTTGACTTGAGAGTGAAGTCTTACAGACAGCTATCTGATAGTGAATTTTTAAATTACTTGCATTCCCTCTGGAAAGTTCCTGTGAACGACAGTCATTAATTGAACACAAATTAAGAATGAATAACCAAATACAACACTGCCATCCCTAAGGTAAAGACCCCTCTCCCAAAGGTATAGACCCTCCCCGAAGACCAGTCAGTGCCTGGTGTCAATTTTGTTGGACATGGATTTAAAGAGTTTCTCAGCATTGAATTCATCAGGTGTTAAGAGATCATGACTTTTATATGGAGACTTATTTCCCATGGGACAGAACACTTCTCAATTGGGAATTTTCACTGCCTGTTAAACAGCAAATCACAGAATGGAGTATAGTCTACCTCCATGATTACACAGATATCAACTCATGGCTCTTTCCCTGAGGAACTATGTGTCCATCTTATTCCTATGATTCAAACATTTTCTTACACGCTCACTGAAAAGACAACATATTTTTTCTTTATTCACTTTATAAATAAATGCAAAGTGCAGAAATAAAAGGGGCGAGATACAAAAGCATGACAGTTGGGGCCCCAGGGAGGGACTTCAACAGATGAAGAACCTGGACCTCCTTAGCCCCATAATGGTTTGGGCTGAGGTAAGACAATTCATGAATATGAATATTCTTCCCCATTTTTTTTTATTTTGAAAATTTTTTTGGAGGGGGTGGCAGGGGGCTTAAATCCACCACTGCATGAAACAAAAAGTTTGGGACAGCAATTTAGACATTTACTTTACAAGGAATAAGAGAAGCATTAAAAAAACTTTGTTCTCAATGTCAAATGAAAACAAGAACAAATGTAAAATATAGTTTACATGTTTAACATTCAAATACATAACACAATTTATAATAAGATGAATATTAAGGCAGAGAAAAAGAGTAGTAATATATTATCATTTATATATTAAGTTGAAATACGAAGCATCTTTATAGAATCATGTAATTCTTGAAAATATACGTGTTTGTGTATCTGATATTTGTCGTTACAAATTAACCTGGATTTTTGTTGTGGGGCAGTTAGCGAATTTGACCTATGATGAAGCTAAGTGTTCCTTTGCTTCAGCCCTTATCTTCATAATTGATTGGCTGTTTTCCCTCTTTCAGCTTAGTGTATTGGACTGACTGGGGTTCGAGTCCCAAAATAGAGGCAGCTCAGCTGTTCGACAGCAAAAGGGTAACAATTGTCGGAGATACGATAGTTTGGCCTTTCAGTCTGACTATAGACTTCCAGCGAAAGAAACTAGTATGGGTTGATTCAGGTATAGTTAATATTGTCACATTGCCTTTAGGTGACAAATTGTCAACGTGAGCCAAGAAATCAGAGTTTAATTATTAATATTCATATGATTTTATACAATAAATATTATAAAATGAATTTACTTAAAGATATTGTGTTGGGCCAAGCATTATTTTTTTTAAGTAGTCTAAAAATTAACAAGGCCCTACTATAACTAAATTTAAGTTGCTTACTACATCATCAAGCTTTTTATTGTATAAAAATTGATGCTAGTATGAATACAACATAATGCATAAATTGTGATTTAAAAAAAAAAATTTATATTTTTAAGATACATAATCTGCAATAAAAACCTGCAAAACCCTAAAAAAATTAGTAAAATTATCATCTTCCAATTAAAGAAACAAACCTTCGTGTGCACCTTGTCTCCACTGAATTGCACCGTCGGCTGATGCAATATATGTCTCACTCAAATTTTTAATTGAAAGTTAATAACTTGCGTTTAATTATGTACAAAGTTAGAAATTCTAACAGGCCTATTGAATTTTATTATATAATTCATGCTTAATATTTCTTGATGTTTTGCATGGCAAGTACCAATAAAACTTTCGGTACACGATGTGTAAGTATATGGTTTTTTTTAAGGTAAAACCACTGGTTGGTTGTCTGAAAGTTTCGGTGAGTTTGCTCAAACAATTAAATAATGATAAATGATGCCTAAATAATTCATGTCTAAATATTAGCCCACCACAGGCAGTGCCTTTGAAAGATCTTCTCACTTTCAAACATTCATCCTGATACCTGTTGAAATATAAGCATCCTCTATTACCATACCTTTCATTGGTTTTAGGGCGACAGTCTGTTGAGATGGCAAATCTTGATGGAACTGAGAGGAGTATAATCACTAAAAGTGGAGTTCATCGACCATGGTCAGTTGCCCAGTTTGGAAACTATGTTTGGTTCACAGAGGAAGAACGTGGTGAGATCATTAGACTGGACATAGACACAGGGCGCAATCCATTGACATTATCTGGTATTGGGGATTATCCTAAAGGAATACAGATTGTGCATCCAAGCAAACAAGACATATTTGGTAAGAATTGTAAAGTTGAAGTCGTTTGGAATGGCCTATTAGAATTTGAATAGAGTTCGATATTGGAACCAGGGCTGGAGAAAGTGCGCGACCGGCGGTCAGAGGCATTAAACAAAATAATAATTTTTTTTTTTTTTTACACATCACAATTTAATGCATACCAGTAACTAAATTTGATATTTATGCTTGCTCCAAACCACTAAATGTACTACTGTTTAACTATAACTAAATGTACTACTGTTTAACTATAACTAAATGTACTACTGTTTAACTATAACTAAATGTACTACTGTTTAACTATAACTAAATGTACTACTGTTTAACTATAATAGTGTAGAGATAACATTTGTTGTTGGAGGCATCTGATCAAGTTAATTTTCATGGTCAGAGGCACAAAAATATATTTTCCAGGCCTGACTGGAACAGACGTTCTTCATACACAGCACACGTCCAATACAAACAACTTTTATGTGTATGATCTTATTTTTTGAAGGATGCCCTCTAGTTTGTGCAGTAATTTTGAGGTAGGATTCCATTTTAGAGAAACCCAGAAAGTCAGACCTTTTGCCATTCTGTACTCTTTGCTGAGAGAGGATGCCAAGATTGTGTCCTCCTATAGATTTTCCCATTAAAGTCATTTTTTTTTCAAGGTACTTTTTTAACATGTAAATGCTGTACATTTGTCACTTTAATTAACATCCAATAAACTTTTTAAATGAAATCTCATTGCATTAAATGAATTCAACAGTCAATGTCTCTTTTTCGTGCACATGACTAATTTATATAATTTATTTATTTCATTTATCTAAAATCATTTTAGTGAGGATAAATCTAATCAGTGTCAAACACTGCTTTCAGTTGTGGCTCTCGATCTATACTCGTACAGTACACGGAACCAATGGCTTAACTTTCCATCGGAAGGACGAAGGAATTAGAGACAAGTTTCTTACCTAAGGACAAAATACACTTTAATTACATTGTCCTTTGTATGGAATGCTAAGCCAGAGGTTCCATGTATACTAAGGTGTGTACTGTATGTTAACTACATTACTCTAAAATTGATAATAAATTTAGAATTTTTTTAATTTCATAATACTGTATCATCCCATTGTGAGTGATTCACAACTTGGATTGAAATCAACTTTGGAAAGCTCTATAAACTAAATCTGAATAAAAAAATATCCAGGTGTTTAAGGATTTGAACCCAAGAGCGTGGTATTAAAAGCTATCGTAGAGCTCCCTATAATTAACCTTGTAATACAAAACTGTGGAACGTATGTTTAGCATTCGCCACTTTTTTCTCATGACTGTACACTGTACTTCGCTAATCCTTTGACCCCAGCCCTAGAATTTGTTCGAAAGCATGAGTAGCACCACAAAAATACAACATTCAGTGAAAGGTGAGAGTAGGCACATTGCTGCTAATCATTTCCAGCCTATTCCCACAAGCTTTCCCCTCTTGTAGAGTAATTCCTAAAGGATTTGTCAACCATGTCCTCGCAGCCACATCTGAATCCAAAGCCCCATATCAAATTCATAGTGTATTTTCCTTATTGGTAACTGACACAAGCATGTTTATAATTGCCACCGCTTGTTTCTTTATTGACAAGCTTGTTTTTAATGGATACTTCAATATATGTTATTTTTAAAAATTAAGAAAGAGGGTTGCTGTAATCGGAAAGTGAAAGTTTGACGTAAACAAATTAAATTAATGTAAAGTGTGGAAATGTTTCTGAACTTCCACTTAGATATCTTTAAATAAAAAAAGAAATTAAAAGCTAATGTAAATTTATATAAAGGGTTTTAGGTCAGCCTTCAAACTCACCTGTTTGATACCTGGCCTTGTAAACATATCATTTTTGTAATGTGTGCATTATAAATTATTATTAATATTATAGGCTTTTCCCGCTTCTGCAGGAATGCCATTGTTTTTGTTTCTGATCTAACCCGTTTCCCAATGTTTCTGCACAAGGTTTTTTAACCATCATTTCAGTCACTTTCTATGCTTAGATCTTGGTTTAAGCAAACCACATATTATAGCAAAGATGAGCCAAGTGAAATATCATGTAAAGCAATGTATTTTAAACTGTTAATCTATTATGGTAATAATAACTTCATAATCTCAAACAGTGCCAATGAGGAAAGCCACATGTCTCTTACTAGTTTTATTGCTATTGTTACTTATATAATTATTACTATTTTATTATTGTTATTGATTATATGTAATCCAATGAAAAAAACATATGTTTAACTCTTAACAGCACACCACTACTCAAAACTGTAGAAATCTTTCGTTTAATAAACTAGAGAAAATTCAAACTCTTTAGTCCAAACATGGATTTATCTATGTCAAACATTGTTTTTTGCATTTCCAAATGTTTTTAACCGAAAAAATATATTTAATCTTTACAAAAAAGTTATGCTAAGGTGACTAAGAACCAACACTAATTACTAGATCCTTCAGATCTATTTATAGTTACATGACATAATTCAACTAGTTAAGGGATGTGTACAAATAAACCTAGATTCTGATAACACTCAGAAGACTGTTTTTACCTATATAAGACATCCTAACTCTGGGGCAGCTTTCACATCATTACATCCTATTCCATGGTAAACACATGTTCAACCTATGCACTTAATATTTGTCTAATAACTGCACCATTGTCATTACAGTAGATAAATCATAACTGAATTTATCAGGTTAAGTTTAATCTCATTTTAGTTCCAATAAATTTCAGTAACTGAGAAATACATTTGGTATAGCCATAAATATAACAACACATCAACAAAGGAATATCTCATTAGCCATTCCTGATTATTTATTCAAACACCACTTCAATGTCTTATAACATTCCTTTGTACAACATCAAAATTCGTTCTCTGAACTGAACTGAACTTTATTGCACATACGCTTTTAGATCAGCGGCACACATCAGAATGATGGTGCGTTCACAAAGGAAACATACAAAATCAAGAAAATTATAAAAAGAAAGTAAAACAAAGAAAAACAACGAGCAAAACAAAATATAAAAGTTCTAAACAGAGGAGTATAAAAAAGTAGTTTAATACAGTATTTTACTGATATTTGGAAATACAACAGTTAGCTAAGACCTTCTCACTATTAATGCTATTATTAATGGTATTAATATTATTATCGTTATTATTATTATTATCATTACTACTATCATTATTGTATAGTAATTTTGTTTTTATTTTATTTCATTATTACATTATTAATATTATGTTATAATTGTTCTTATGATTCTTAACATGGTCATATCGTTTATTACCGTCAACATTATTAATTACAATGTTACAAATTAAAAATATTATTATTATTATTATTATTATCGTCATTATTATCTTATTACTATTTTTGCAAATTCTTATATATTAAATTGTTTTTATAGGCCTTTAAAATTACTTTCTCTGTTAATATAAAATCAAATAAAGTAAACAAAAACAATAAACAAATGTGAAAAAAGAAAAAAATAACAATAGTACATAAAGTGATAACTCAGCACAGAATCAAAGATAACTATAATAAAATAATAATAAAGGTTGTTACATATTTAATTAGTGGGCGATATATCATATATCATATCTCTCTCCGGACCCTGATTTTAAATCCTAATCAATTTAAGGGTCGATTCTTGTAGTGAAGTTTCTGTATTCCATTGAAATTAATGACTTATTTGATGCTTTTAAAAAGAGTTATTCAAGTTTTAATTGGATTGTTTTTTTTTTTGTTTTTTTTATTACAAATGTTATAACACTAAACTTATAAATCATTTCTAGAGGCTTACAGCTTGCTTTTCCTTTTCTTTATGAAGATATAACTTCAAGTGAGAATAGAAAATGTTTCCTCGCTTGACAATCTGTTTGTGAAATCAAAGTTGCCCTGGTTTAAACCAGTTTTGTGGAACTGAGAAGAGCTAACTGCAGCCTACCCAGCTCCCCTAATCCATCTCAATCCTATTTGATCCTGACCAGGCTAAGGTGTTCATATTTGATGAACTTTTATCACAAAGCCACCATGGTATTGCTTAGAGGTCACATGACTTAGTCTCTTGTGACTAAGTTGATATGTGTAGGTTTCATGAAGGAAAAATGTTTGATCCAGAAAGTAATCTTAAAATTTGTCATATAATAAATCCGCTGAAAAAAGAGCTAATATCGTAATAACAAATTAACATATTAAAATGAATGAAATAATTCATTCTTAATATGTAGATTAACTCTGTTCTAAATGTAATTATAACTAAAAACAATTACTATTAATTTATTGTTTTTAGTAATGTTATTACCTGGCAAATGTTCTTATTTATTGTTATTGAATTCATGTTGAATTGATTAAACATGTCATTTCTTTACCTATGACAAAAATGAATAAAATTACTCTTGAAAATGACATATCATTCATCTCAATCTAGGACAGTTAAGGCCACGTAGGGGACATTGATAGCAATCTCAAATGCGTTATTGATCTTAATAATGCCTCTAGATATCGCTGTCAAACACAGAATGTCAGAAAACATGACCAAACCAGTGTTTCTCAGTTGTTTCGGTTTGAATAAGTTCCTCTATTCATTGATTTTAAGTATGATATCCGATACCGTTCTTAAGGGTTTACCAGTTTCCAGTGAGTGAAAATCCCCCACACAGCAATCCAAAGAAACTTAAAATTTATTTGTTGAGAGAAAATTTTTGGATTTTTAACATCTTGATTTCAACATTGGCAGAGGCTAGGCCTATAAAGGAGCTCTCAGGCCTGTTGACAGCATCACAACTTAGTGAGAATAGATGTAGAGGCTGTGCTTTGGCCACTCAATCTTAAAGTCAGGGGTTCTAATCACATGTTGCCATCCATTTGTGTCTAAGTTAGTACCAAGGAGTATGAACGGGCACCTCATGGTGAATACTCAATATTTATGCATGTAAAAAATACCCCAGAAGAGTGGGCAAAGATACATAATTGCACATAATTGTTGTTTCCATTATTATCATCATCATTATTTTTGTGTTCCTTTCAATTTCTTTTTTTATTATTGATTTTTTCCCCTTTGGTTTAAATTTTTTATGTATTGTGTTGTTGATTGTCATTGCTGCATTTTATTGTTATGTGGTTCTCATATCAGCATTGCTGGAAGAGCCACCCTAAAGAAAAGTTCAATAATAATTTAATAATAATCTGCGTTTTATTTTCAGATGTGGATCCATGTCTGGTATTCAACGGGGGATGCGAGCACAATTGTTTTCGCGCCGCGCACAATCAAGCTGCCTGCTCGTGTGACCCTGGATATAGACTTACATCAAATATGATGTCCTGTGCCCTTGGTAAGGCTAACATTCATTCATAATTAGATGATATGTTTTACAGCTCTGTAAAGGATGTGTCAATTTATTTATCTATTAAAAAATTTGATGTAGAATAATAGGATTTTGCAATCACAGGATGAGTTTAATCTTTATTGTATAGATCGATTGCACGGAGAATAATTAAACTTATGAATACGATTCGTGTGTAGTACGTCCCTAAGAATGAATAGGATTTGTGTAAAGTCTCTGATAGAAACCTCACAATCATGCAGCAATTCTACTTCTACCAAGCTGCTTCTACTTTATGTAGTCATGGTTACCTTAGACATGCCTTAGATAATGGTTAATATGTTACCATAAGCAGCTACAAAATATTACATTGTGATGGATGATGAGTATTGTTCCTCCAACCTCAATTAGTCAGTCACAGAGTCACACTGGCTAATTGCACAGTCAATTTAGATTGAAATGGCCAATTGCACAGTCTATTCTGGCTAATCTCACAGTCCCTTTAATCTGAACTGGCTAACAGCCCCTTTGTATTGAATTGATCAATTGTACTGTCTCTTTAAAGATATACTATTAGTCATGAGGTAAACAAACTGAAAAGTCCACATCTGAATTGCTTAATTTTTTTATGTAAGTTTTTTAACTTAAAATAAAAAAATTAAAAAAAATCCCTTATCAATTTCCTGACAGTTAAGTAATAACTTTCCTGTATTCCTTTACATAGATTGCATAGAATCCTTAATTGCTGGTAATCAACTACTTTTTTTTTTATCTCTTGCTAAAAGCTAATAATTTATTTGATATAAATCCCTTTTAAATAAGCTAATCAAAAATATATTTGAAATTTTGAGGTATTTGCCTGTCTTTTCGACAGATAGTACATTTTTAACCTGAATTAAGCATAATAATATTAAGTTTTATTTGGAAGAATATTTTTGTTTAAAAAAAGCATTTATCATGTATGGAATGTTCTTTTACAAGTTTGAGATTGCCATTAAAGATATAGAGATTATGTGAAGAAACCAAGGCCATATCTCGGTTTTGCAATTTTTAGAAAACATTTAAAAAAAATTTATGAATCACTGTCCGTAATGAATATATCGGCAAGTTATTTGTATTAATTAATAAAAAAAAAAACGAAGTGAATCGTGTAGCACTTATGAAAGTACACAGTATAATTAATGTCATTAATTACCAACAATTACTGTTTGTTCTAGTTACAAACTAATTGTGCTAACCAATTTTATCAAGTTAAAAAAAAATCACAGGGATTCCCAGTCTGGATTCAATTTTTCAACATTAATGATGTCATCATCAGGAGTTCCTGATGATGACATAATTAATGTTGAAATATTGAATCTCGACACGATGGCGTGCATTTCGATACTTGAAGTATGTATTACCTTTCGGTTCCAAGTGTCTCACAAGAGGCGGAGTCTCTCAGAAATCTGGATGGCCTCCTGCTCTCCCACAACCCGGAAAATAACCCATCTCCTGAAATTAATTAAATCTGCATGTTTTTACCTGTATTACCCCTTCATTATAATTTATGCCGAATTGCCCGACGGGGGGTCTGAGGACCCCGACAAGGAGGTCGATGCTCTGAGGAGGGGGCAGATTTCCCCAACAAGAGCAAAGTGGCCGTGGTCGAGCTTCACTTAAAATGTCTGGAAAGTGGAGGCGAAGAGGTGAGGCCAGGGGAGGCGAAGCCCCCTAAAATTTTGACAATTTAGGGGTTTCAGAAGCTTATTTAATCGATTTTAGAGTCTACAAATATGTAGAAAATATTTTTTTCCCCCGACGAATTGTGGTTTTTCTCCCCGACGAGGGCCAGCTCTCCCCTGGCCCCACGCTGGCGCCACTCCTGGTGCCATGGAAGTCAGTGTCAATGCTTATTACCAAGAGCAGCAAAATAAAATTACATGTGCTAAGGAAACTCATTTAAACAGATCTCCCAGAAATGGTTTCTTGAGACCCTTGAAATGATGCCAATCAAATCAAACACTTAATCCTGGTTTTCATAAAATTGCTACACTGTAGCAACAGCAATCAGTTCACTATAGCTGTCCCTGACACGATCGAAAGGCTCCAATTCATCTCTGTAACTTTAAGCTAGAGGTTTACTATTTTCTATGCCCAATCAATTAGCCATATCAATAAATAATACCCATTCTATCCTTACAAAGCATAAGCAGGGAGGATTTTCCAAACGCAGGGCACAACATTTTCAGAATAGATGAGTGAGTAGTAACTTATTTCAATTTCAAAATTTATTGGCAAAACTGGGGAAAGGGGAGGGGGAAACATGCCCCCTTACTGGATCCACACCTGTAAAGTACACCCTTAATTAGGATGTATTTCATTTGAATTTTTTTTAATGAGTATTTCAAAGTTTAATTAATTTTTTTATTTGACCTTTTGGCAGTACATCTTTAATATTTTTATATATTTTCAGATGAATGTCTGACAAATATGGATACTTGTGACCCAAACGCCACATGCACAGACACCGAAGAGTCATACACTTGTACATGTCCTGAAGGCTACAGCGGAGACGGGGAAATATGTATAAGTATGCAACACAATAAACTAATAAATAGAAAGTAATAGACCTTAAAACAAAATCAGAAAGACCAGTTTGCTGATTTTATTTCTTTTTAATTATGAACAAATAGATAATTAAATTCAATTAAAGTTTTATGTTCATATTTAGTGTTTTACTGCCTATTTTACATAAAATTACTTTTGGTATCCCTGAGTGATAAGAAATTTATTTGTAAATCCCTTGTCAATACTATGAAGAATTACTTGTCTATGTAACAGAATTATTCTTAAAATTTCTTCAGAATTTTGCAGAAATCATCAATCATGATTGGTGTTATATTGATATATTTATTGTTTTAAACGTTTTCCTGCTCCTCATTCCTCTCATCAGTACTGGGCAATATTATTTTTTTTGGCCTTGGGATGTTGACACCCACTCCTAAACCTGCATTTCTTGATTGTCACTTCGTAACACCTTACTACATTTTAAAATCCCTTTAACTTTTGGTTATCTTGAAACTAATCAACTTTTTAGATCATCCTAATTAAATAGCTGCTTATTGATGTACAAATATATTGGGTGGAATAAATTGATTGACATATTTGCTAATAATCAACTACTGGTCATTAAAAAAAAGTGTATTTTTAGCAAGTTTTCTTGTAATAAACTAACTGGATTTGTCATCATGTCAGGGGGTCACACTCCTGTGATAATCTGAAGGAAACATATAGGTGAATTAGTTATAATCAAAAGAAATGACTGCATGGCCCCACCCAATACAGCAGTCCCTAGTAGGTGCCAACGTCATGTGTACTTTGCATAACAGATGTATTTTAACACCTGTAATTTGAATAACAGATGTATTTTAACACCTGTAATTTTTTTCCCCACCACCTTTTAACTGCACACAAAAAATATGATAGAGACATATTATATTAAAATTTCTGCTATTAATTTATTGAAAAGCAATTATATATTTTTTTATATTTGCAATCAGATTTGAATCCTTGTTCAATGGCTAATGGTGGTTGTGATCAGATTTGCATATTTCATGTTGAGTTCAGTGACTATGAATGCAGATGCCATGATGGCTACAAGTTAATGAATGACAGAAAGTCGTGTGTACCAGGTATACTACCACTCACTTAATACATGAATTACTTTTTTTTTTTACAGTATTACTTTGTATAAATATGGAAGTATAAAATGGTAGTGTAGCCATATCTTTAGAGGTTTAAATGCAGAGGTCTAAAGTTGTAGGGTCTCTCGGAAAATCGGCATGGTCTTCTGCACGCCTGTGAACAAGCAACTAGTAACAATGCTTTATAATGCATAGATCAGTAAAGTGGCTTCCACAAAATACACCATAATGAAAATGTAACAATGAATGCCAATGTATTCTAATTAAAAATGTGTGAAAATAAAATTTTCTTTGACTGTTAATATACAATAATAAAGTTTTTTCATTACTTTCTTTAATTCTGTATGAATCAATCTGCTTTATATTTTAAAATCATTATTAATTTAATCATCAATTTATTTCTCACTTTCCAATAATCTTTGATTTATCAATTGCTATGAAATGTACTTGGATATATTAGAAAAAAATTGTTGAACTAGGTTTAGAAACAAAAATACTACTTTAGAAACAAAATTGTTGAACTATTAAGGTTGAACTATTAAGAAGATTAATTAAGTGTGACATTATTGGTGACTCATTATATACACAAGCTTACCACAGGTGCAAGGCCAAGGTAGACTTTACATCTCAAATCGCCAGAATCTATATGTTTGATAAATAAACAGGGGCACAATAGTTAAATCGATCTGTGTTGTTCACTGAGCCGTCAATCTTTCTTAATCTGATCAGTCAATTGTTAATTGAGCTCAAAAGCTTAGTTTTTTTAACCATTGTCATATTGTGTTGATGTTTGCTGATCATCAACAATACAAGAATTCCCAAAATTTAATATAGCGACGTATCTTTTAATAGTTAGTAGTGCCTTATTAACATAGTATCTTTTAATAAAAAATTGCAGTGGATTTGATTATTGTTGAATGCGATGACTAATAAGGTATAATTCCAGATTAAACAAACAAAATTGTTCATTTATAATTATTCCCAGCTCAGCTGTGTAATTGTATAGAAATGTAAACTGTGTTTATTTGACAAGAATTTGATTTTGTTGGTATTTTTAACAGATCGTAACCCATGCAGTATTCTCAACGGTGGTTGTGACCAGATCTGTATACACGCCAACTTGAACCAGGTGTTCTGTAGCTGTGACACAGGATTCGACCTCAAGGAAGACGGCAAAACATGCGTAATGGGTAAGTCGATTGAACCGATAATCTGACAGTTTGTATTTTTCTCATATATTCTTACCATACAGGACATTTTTATATGAATCATGCATAGGTTGTGGGAAGGGAAAGTGTTGGTTTTTGTACAAGTTCGTGTATGATGGGAAGGGAGAGGTTTTAAATTCTGCCTTGGTCATCTGATTCACCAACAGTGGACAACACCCTGTTTTATCGGTCAACACCCTGTTTTGTCAATCACAGTTCAAATTTACATCACCATTTACTTCTTTATAATTTATTATTTAATACTTAGGCTATTTGATATACAGTATAGTCTAATACCTTCAAAATGTCCAAGAAAAAAATGTCTTATTCTCTCTGGTGAAGAAAGTAAAGAGTGATATTTACTTTGCCACTAAATATAAAAATGTTAATGCCTATATTGGAATTAGCGCTATTCACTTTTGAATTTGTTCCCCCTGTTTGAAAAATTCTGGATCCGCCCCTGACATGCTTTAGGGGGTGGGGGAGGGGTTCGATAAGTACTCTTTTATGAAAAAGACATTATTGTTAATTTGAAACAATGACCCTGGGATTGGAAGACAGGCATCTTGCCTCTAGTTTGTCAGTATTCCACAAGCATATATCTCACATTAAAATCTTTCCACCTATCCCAAATACATAGCCCCACATATAAAAATATAAAATTGTTGTATTTATTTATTTTAATCAATATATATTTCACTAAGATTTTTCTTACCCACTTCCCTAAGTAATAACAGATTTATAATCACATTTTACATTAGTTTCATATCTGTCAGATTCAACAATCTCTTTCTGCCAAATTTGTAATACCTGTCCCCCTCCTCTTAATCCATAACACCACATTCCGTTACCTTGACAACTTAATTTAAGCTGCTCATCCCCTAGATTAATATGTCGTTAACTCATCCCACTCGGCAATGAATCACGCACATTAAAAGTGCAATTGTGTCGTTCCCAAGGGATGTAAGCCAAGATACCTATAGAATTTACCGGCAAAACAATTAACTAAATCTGGAGAATTTTATTTTTTAAAAAAACGATAGTATGACTAAGACACATGGAGTTGGATAGATTGGAAATTTTTTTTGTTACCCTACCATGACATCATCGATCTTGGTTGACCTGTTTGTGCCATTTGTCTAGACACACTTTCATTCCTCCAGTGTCCATTCCACGTTGGTATGAGTACATAATTCATATTTCTCAATAGCCACACATAATTTAGTAGCATTTATTTTTACACCCAGTTAATTGTAATTGTTATTGTAATTGTTAGTTTACAGTGAAATATGTAGCGATGATTAACACTAGGTCAATAATAAATAAATAGGTGGTTTTCACCGCACGATGTTTACCGTACTTTAACGTTAGTACCCAACATGCAACGCAATAGCTCCGACCCTTTTGTAAACAAAATTGAAATATGCATGCGCAAACCCGTAATTAACGTATGTTGAGCACGTAAAATCCTGAAATTATCATACTCCGCGTTAAGGTTAACGTTGTGCGGCGAAAACTACTTATTAATTCTCACCTTCTCAATGCAACAGATACTGTAAATGCTCGAATAACCACCTGATTATTTTCGTTAAGTGTTGCTCTTGAATAAGCACCGGGGTACTTAATAAAGGGTATATATTACCCTGTGTGAAATGAAACACTTTGAGAAACAGGGTTTTAAATACAATGTATGCGGTATTAAAATGAATAAATAACACAATGAAGACACAAGCATTTCTTTATAAACATTCATATACGATGACTAGGAGGACCTATGATAGGTCTACTGATACAAGAGGAATACGTAACATGGGAAAGGGCATGGAAAAATATGCTATAAGCACCGCGGTGCTTATTTGAGCGTTTATACAGTACTGTAATTTGTAAAAATAACTTATTTTGCCAATTTTTTACGTTAAATCAGAAAAAATATTAAGTTAAAAAATCAATATATTAATATATTTACTTCACAAAGGAAATGTTTGCATTAATATGCAGTATTAAAATGAATAAATAACACAATGAAGACACAAGCATTTCTTTATAAACATTCATATACGATGACTAGGAGGACCTATGATAGGTCTACCGATACAAGACGAATACGTAACATGGGAAAGGGCATGGAAAAAAATGCTATAAGCACCGCGGTGCTTATTTGAGCATTTATACAGTACTGTAATTTGTAAAAATAACTTATTTTGCCAATTTTACGTTGGAAAAAAATGCCATAAGCGCAACAGGACTTATTTGAGCATTTACAGTAATTTGTAAAAATAACTTATTTTGCCAATTTTTTACGTTAAATCAGAAACAATATTAAGTTAAAAAATCAATATATTAATATATTTACTTCACAAAGGAAATGTTTGCATTAATTTTATAACCTACAAAAAAAATAAGAAGAGGTGGAAAAGGTAAATTTCATCAATATACAAATTATAAAAATGAGTTTCAGCATCAGATAACCTATAGATACTGCAATTTTATATTATAGATTTTTTTTTAAATTCAAAGGTTATCATATCATGCAACTGTGTGAGCTTACATCTGGACTTAGAAGTATGTGCTCTATCTACTTGATCTCATTGTTAAGATGTCAATTGCTAAGTTATTTTTTTGAAATATTTTAAAAATTTATTTCACATCCACCAGCAAGTACATTACCAATCATTAGATGAAACAAAGTTCTATAATTTAAACCAAGAGGCTTTGGGAGTGGAATTGTTTTAACTTATGTGATAAAATCCCTGAGATTTGAACCCAGAACCTTTAAATTGGAAGGCAGGCAACTTAAACATCAAGTTACAACTACACCCTAGTATTTGTTTCACATGTGTTAGTTCAAAAACCTAAATAGTTAACAGAGCACATATTAAAAATGTTAATATGTACCTGATTTAGTTAGTTGCTTATGAATCAGTATGTATCTAACAGTGTACAACATTCTTATTTGCCCCGTGTTAGTTTAAGATCTAAATAATTAGCACACATTCAAGATGTTACTAATAGTTATTTTAGTCAGTCTCTGATGAATCATTACATTTCTAACACACAACCAGGCACACAACATTCTTGTTTTCCATGTGTTAGTTCAAAAACTAAATATTAGCACACATTAACAATATTACTGTACTAGTACTTGATTTAGTCAGTCTTCCATGAGTCATTAATTTTCTAACATACAACATTCTTGTTTCCCATGTGTTAGTTGAAGACCTAAATATTAGCATGTGAAGACCTAAATATTAGCACACATTCAAGAGACTACTAATACAGTACTTGATTTAGTCAGTCTCCGATGAATCACATTTATTTCTAACATACAACATTCTTGCTTCCCACGTGTTAGTTCAAAACCTAAATATTAGCACACATTCAAGATGCTACTAAATGCTTGATTTCAGTTCCTATGAATCATTACATTTCTAACATACAACATCCTTGTTTTCCATGTGTTGGTTCAAGACCTAAATATTAACACATTCGAAATATGTACTTGATATATTCAGTCACATGAATCAGTTCTTCTATAACATGCAATTTAAGGGAGGTTCTGGTGTACTAGTTACCTCCGCCAACGAGGTTATGTTGCCTGGTTTTTTATTTAGTTTTATTTGTCTGTCAGCATATTTGTTGTGAACAGCCTCCAGCCCATAATTTTCATCAGAAATTCATCAAACTTGGTTACAATATTCCTTTACCCAAGATCTAGGGCTGATAAAATGTTGAATGGTCAGGGTCAAAGGTCAAGGTCACAATCAACGAAAAACTATTTTTCATTTATTTGTCTACAGCCCATAGTTTTAATCACAAACTTGTCAAACTTGGTCACAATGTTCCATGACCAAAGATCTCATTACCTCCGCCAACGAAGTTGGAAGGAGGTTACGTTTTTGCCTGTTTATTTATTTATTTGTCTGTCGGTGTATTTGTTGGGAACAACCTACAGCCCATAGTTTTTTATCAGAAATTTGTCAAACTTGGCCCAATGTTCCTTAATACCTAAGATCTAGAGCTGATTAAATTTTGAAGGGTCAGGGTCACAATCAACGAAAAACTATTTTTTAAATATATTTGTCTACAGCCCATAGTTGTAATCACAAACTTGTCAAACTTGGTCACAATGTTCCATGACCAAAGTTCTCAAAGTATTTGAATGTTTAAGGAAAAGGGTTAAAGGTCAAGATCACAATCAACAAAAAATGAATTTTTGAAACAGTTTTTATCAGAAATTTGTCAATGGCCACTATGTTCCTTTACCAAAGATCTGGATGTGACTAAATTTCGAAGGGGTACGGTCAAAGGTCAAGGACACAATGATAGAAAAACTTGTATAACTGTTTGCCGTATAGAAGTGTGTGTGTGCTTATACGGGCTTGCTGGTAAAGTGTAAACAAACATATATGACCATTAATTTCCAAGTGATATACAGTATGTAAAAACACATATCACCATATAGAAGAGTGTTTTCCACACTACAGGCCCCGGATTCAAAGGAATCTACTTGTTTCTTTTTTTCATTATTTTTTTTTATATGGGAACAATATGCAGGGGAAATTTATACTGAGGAGAATTATGATGTGGACGGAGTTGTGCACTCTCCGAGTACCCTTTAGTTTTTTTTTGTTTTAATATTCATTTCCTAGGCAGAGAATGTTAATAGGTTTTTACCATAAGTTGAATGCCTATTTACACAGAGTGTCACAGCGGCACATTACTGCTGCTGAACATTTTTTTTTTATTTCTAAAGAATGTTGAATAACAAAAAATATTCTGACCAGTCAGTGGCTCCAATCGTTTTTCGCTATGCATTCAGAAGAAATTTCAAATTCCACAAGCATGACTACTGTCGAACGCTGTCTAGTTTGCACTTTGCAACTGAATTTTTTGTAGCTTTCGAGTGCCAGTACTCCATACAACAGTTTCTTGCCAATGTCTCATGCTGCTGCACATGGTGTAAATAGGCCTTTATACCGTCTGATTTATTTGGTTTAAATATATATGTTTTGGTTATGAGTATATTTTAAGTATCATCTAATGGACTTACTGAGTTACCTGAGGAATAGTTACTTTACTCATGCACAATCTGGGATGAGGTGAACTTACTATGTTAATCCATTTAGGAAGCCTATGTCACTGATACTTACAACTCCAGTTAACAACTGTTCTTTATCAGCTCTGGCACACACATAGATTTACTAGTAGTATATACACAAGCATACACAATCTGGCTCTCACCCTAGAATACCACACAGACCTACACACACACAATGTATACCTCAGTTCCCCTGTACCTGTGCCCCATCCCCCCGCCCCCAGTGAATCCGCTACTGTTCACTCTCTATTGTATTTGGATATTGATGAATGTAGCACGTTGTGCAATATTGTTAAAATGGTGTCAGTATAGATTATGTTCTCACTAATGGCTGATGCTGTCCCTAAAGATTTGTATCAATTTATGTACTTGCTCGCCAAACTGATTCATCAAACCACAGAGCATCACGGTAGTGCCTCTACCTTATCATCCATAACATGTCTATGAGACAGTCATTGGTTAACTTTCTCTTCAAAGTTGACCACTAATATATCACTTTGTTGCACTTCCCTATAGGACATTTGATTGGTTTACCAAGTTTGTTGTCATGGGAGCTCTCAGCCAATGAGATGCTGGTAGGGCCTATGAATCACTTGGATTTAGAATCAGTCAATACTAGCAAGTTAATAGAACAAACCTTTTCACACACCGCAAGATCACACATGGACTCAATAAGCTGACAATTTGTTGAAATTTATATAACTTGGATTTATTTTGTTTACTTTTCACCTGTAATTTGATGCTTTTTGTTTCATTTAATCAGATGAATGCCTACTAGGTTATGATAACTGTGACCCTGCAGCAATTTGTGTTAATACTGAGGATTCATTTGAATGTCATTGCTTGGAAGGATATGAAGGTGATGGAGTAACTTGCGCAGGTAAAACTTGTCTTTTTTTGTAAAATGTATATTATTATTAATTATTTAAATAATTGTATAATAAGACCAAAAGAAATTATGCATTACAGCATTATGTTGTGTTGCCCTGTCACCATGGCAACTGGAAATCACGGCAGTCCTTCGGATTTTTAAAAATCTGTATGCCTTCATTTGTGTTGGTATTTAACATCTCATCTTTGTTTTAATTCAGGTGAGTTAGCACTAACACTGCAACAGGTATAAAAATCTCCTGGGGTTCATTGCTAAGCATCATCTCATAGATTGTGGTTGGCAAAATGATAACTCAGTGATAAAATGTTTATTGATAAAGAAGTGACCTTTTAAAAATACTATTTTGAGCGCCCGGCCTAATTTATAAAAAAGCATTATTGCATAACCCAAAAAATAAACATAACATTGGGCCTGATCCTGATCGTCCACACCAGTTGGGCCCCATCATCTGTAAATGGGCCCGATCGCCTGTCACTTTCTTGAGGGCTAAAAACTTTACTACGGTATATGTTTCAAAATTCATCCCAATGTACTGCTGACCTTAACCGTGTTGTTAATTATGTGTGAATGGTCTGTTACATTTTGATCGTTGGAACATTGGAAATGTTTGTTGTGCATTTGGTACAAATGCATTAACTCCGGTATTACATTCCAAATACAGTACAGCTAACCTGAACCATAGGCGCTTATCTATTTAGTACAGCCTGTGTGTAAATGGTCTAACACTGAAAAACAACTGGCTAAGTCAGGGCTAGTGAATGCGGAAGAACTGGTAAACACAGCGACTACCGAAACAACTACCGGTACAGTAAAAGTCATATTTTTCCGTCAATTAATGTAAAATATTGATTCATATTCAATTGTATGATCAAAAACTAATAATATATGTTGTTAGACTTTTAGATACCGGTAGGTTTCGAATCCCTGATATCTATTTTGAGTCCCTTGGTTTTGCATTGTGTTCGTAGGCTTCGCAATAAGCATACAGTAATTATAATATAGATTACTAATGGAATTTTATAATTGATGGGAGGTGCAACTAGAAACTCCTCTTGTTAACTCAAGGTTTTAAAAAACATGTTTTAGTGAAATATGGCTGCATCATCATATCATCTTTCAGAAGATATATTTAAGTCAATGGTGTCATGTCACCACTGGGATAGGGTGGCACTGCAGCTTACACAAGCCCCTGGGGACCCTCCTTAAATTTTTCAGTTCCTCAACTAGTCTAATTGAGTTACTTTAAAAATACATGCTATTGATATGAAAATGTAGGTTGCCAATCTAGAACAAATAAACATTCCATGTTTTCCCTATGGTTATTAATTTAATATACAGTTTAATTTTATTTTTTATTAATAAACAATATCCAATATGCTATTCATTCAAAATCATATGTAAACCTTGAGTGTTCATTATATGACCTCCATCATCTGACCTTCGTCGACTTAACATCATGAATGACCCAGATATAAGAGCGACTAACTGGCCTTATTAATACTCAACCCGTACAGATTAGTATAGATTAATAATTAGCTGCTCTCACTTCCTCTATATTACATTTACTCAGGTAGAGCAACTTTTAGCGACCTTATTACTGGATGACCCCCATTTTTTCGTATTTAATTATTTTGATAAGCATTCTAAGTTTCTCTTCCAGGCTTTTTACATTTAACAGTAAAGTTTATTCCCATATACTTTTAAAGCCCTGTCCAGACTATCAAAAACATGTGACATGCCTAAATATGGTCATGATGACATCACATCATCACCATATATAGGCACATCATCACTATATATAGGCACATCATGACCATATATAGGCACATCATGACTATATATGAGCATACAACTTTTTAGTCAAAGACAATTTGAAAGTCTGGGTAGAGCTTAATGACTGAACACTGTGGACAGTAAAATGATAAGGAAAATGTTACAATTTAAAAGTTGTCATGTTAAACTATAATTGACAGCTGTAATGCCCATTGATTGATTGATTGATCTTGTAATATTAATACTTGTAATTGTTAAAATAATAGTTTTTGAAAGAGAAATAGAAACTTGAAACATCTGAAGTGCCTAATACTTTGTATATTTAAGTGATCACTTTTCAATTAAAAATTTGTTGGAAAAAAAGAAACTTATTACAATGTGAATGATAAAAGTAATAATAAAAATAAAATAATATATTAATTTTCAGGTAAGATATTGATATTTTTAACAGTAATGGATGAAAAGATATTTTTTGAAATTGAGATTTGATGAAAAACAGAAACATTGAGAGAAGTAATAATTGAACCCTTCCTAGTGAGATATTCAAGGTAGACGGTTTCCAAGGCAACACTGTGCCGTCATCTGTGACCAAGAAATTGATGCAAGGGCAAGCAATGTGAAATTGCTGCAACAAGGATGCAGACTTGGAACACTTCCGTCCTTTCACTTAAAATCTGACAGTCTATCACTATGCTGATACACTGCAATACATTCATTGAGTATCGGAAACAAATTCACTCAATATAATACAGATGTGTATAAGAGACAGCATTAACTCCGGTATTACATCCCAAATACAGTACAGCTAACCTGAATTTTTAAATATCATTGTTGTTACTGATATTGTTTGTATGATTTTGTTGTCAACATCATCATTTTCATTATAATAATTATTTATTTTACTGTTATTTATTAGCTTTGCTTTTTATTTAACCATAATTTCATATGTTGCAAAATACTGAAAACCACCTCTCCCAAATAATTTGTTCTAAAACTAACTGAAGCTATCGAATAAGCAGCACAGCATTTCAACACTCCAATAATTTGTTATTAGTGCTGCTCTTCAGTAGGTTCCTCTCTTGCAACCCCAACAATAAGTGCCACTGGCCTTATCTGGTCATTTATGGTATTTGATTTTACTTATTTGTACTAATTTATTTGAACAACTATTTGTTTGAGGAGCCATAACTTTCATTGCATATTTGGTTTAATAATTGATTGATCAATTTATTGAGTTTAGTATCAAATAATTAATTGATCTACTGATATTTTTTGGTTCAAAATTTATTGACTACAAATTTATATCATAATTTTTTAGGTCACTGTTTAAATATTTTATAAGCAATTTAAATAGGCCAGTGGTGAAATTATTAAGAAGTACAGTGGCAAGTGCACCAGGGAATTGGCACGGCCATCACCCCTCCCAAATATTTCTGAATTAATATGTCAATTTTTGAATGATATCATGAAGCCCGAATTCTGATGTGCATCACTCCACCCTTCACCTCAATAAAGGAAATTATCTCATTGAAAAGATTGCCTAATAGTGCTGTGGGTGTTTCCCATTACAGTACCTATGCTGTCACTGATCTAATCAAACTCATCTTTGTCTGCGATCACTAATCAAACGTCACAGAAATCACCCAAATTACTCTCCAAATTATTTCATTTATGAATCATCGCCATGGTGATGCCAATCATCCTGTCATTGGTAGGCGAAAGTTCATCGATTTCTTGTCCAGAAACCCCGGAAATCTACTTTCCCCCCATTTCTGTTTTTAGGTGAAGGAAACTAAATTAGTTAAAGAGATTATAAGATTAGAATTGTCTTTCTATCTGTAGTTTAAAACCTTTTTATCTAGTCTGAATTCTACTGACGTCTAAATAACTTCTATATTCTTCTGGCATCCAAGTAATTTTATGTTCTCTCTGTCATTCTGGCCTAATTTATTTCCTGTAGAAATTGATTAATAATCATCTGTGTATCTGTTTCTTCTGTTAAAGAGAGAGGAGCATTTGTCTTGGATTACACAGACCCTCAACAGGAACCAACACCTTCACTGCCGAACTCACCAAAAGCGACCACAATGCAAGGAACAAAGCGGAAGACATCAAGAGCCATGAAATTCAATACAATTCCAACTTTAGTTATATCCACAACTCCTGCGAGGAACCCTGATAAAGGGCATATAGGCGTTAAACCGACAGCTGTAGCATGGCCACCGAAACCGACTGGCGGACATATGGACTTTAACCCTAATGAACGATTTTTTGAATGTCCAGTGAATTTTGAATATTATTGTTTGCATGGTGGTGACTGCTTTTACTCAAAGGAATCAAATCGAGCAAAGTGTTTGTAAGTATTACATCAGTTGAATATCAAAATTTAGTTCTAAAAACTACTTTAAAATAAAAACTTAATGACCGCATTAGCTATTATTTATCTATTAATATCCAGAAGGATATGTAGACAAAAATCTATATATCACTCAGGTTCTAGGGAAAAATGCCTTAATTCTGTGTATATACATAGACATACTTTACTGTAACATCAAGAAAATTCAAGAATCTGTTTCTTGTTACAGTCACACATAATAAATACATATAAAAATACAATATGTGAAGGTGCGATATGCCAAACAGTGAAGTTACCCTTTGCTAGAAAAACATCATGTTTTAAACATAAAAAAATAAGTATCATAGGCTTAGGCACTTGAGTTGTTCTTAGTCATGAGAATAAATCCTGTTATCAAGACAGGAATTGAACCCAGGACCTTGGCAATGAAAGACAAGCATCATTCTCATCCACCAAGCTATTGAACTTTACTCATTGTAGATTGCTAGATGGATAGCAGGTTTCCTGATTGCTAAAATTATTGAGCATTATAATTAGGAAATGTTGACGTAAATATAGAACATTTTGGAAGTATTGATTAAAACTAATTATGTTCACCTTATGCAAGTGTTACTTTGCTTGGCCCACTACATTCTTCTTCAGACAGCTAGCTTTCAACACAACACATTTTGTAGCAGGATTAGCATGCCATGTTATGATTCCTCATTATTCAATTACCTGGTGCTACCTAAAGACATATATAATTTATCACCAATCCCCCCATAAAATTTTGAATTACTAAATTCAAAACTTAAAATGCATTTTACAACAATTAAAATAAGTAAAAAATAATTCATGCCGACTAACAAACAATTTTGATATCGAACTGGTGATGGAATAGTTCTTTTCAAAAAATTTATGCTTTGCTGGCAGAATACTGTTTTCTATTAACTTTAAAAATCTGGTGCTACCTATGGACATACAATTTATCAGTAGTCCCCCATAGAATTTTGATCTACTAAATTCAAATCTTACAAATAAAATAAGAAAACAAAATTCATGCTGACTAACACACTATTTTGATATTATAATAATGTTAGTCTTATAGAGCACATAATGCAAAACAATGCTTTTAAGCGCCTTCCACATAAAAGAATTTGAAAAATGGAATGACGCCATAAAATATCCTAGCAGTGACCAAAAAAGAAAATAAACGCAGGAACTCTTTTCACCGCTCAGTTCTAAAGCACTTTAAAGCTGCCATAATTGAGAGCTCACTGGAACAGAACTCACAGGAGCTCGAGCAAAAGTGGCATCTGACTATCCTATCCTACGAACAAAAAAAGTAGATTGAATTTTGAGGAATAATATAACAATTAGATTCAGTCAGTTTTCGAGTTTAAGCAAGATGAGCAAAGTAATTTGTAAAAAGATGATGCTTTAGACATTTTTTTAAAATGTCAATTGACTCTGTGTCTGTAATAGCTTGTGGACGATCATTTCAAAGACAAACAGCAGAAAAGATGAATGATCTATTGCCATAGAAAATAGTAGCCGGTTTTCAGACGTTAAGTTTCTTCTGTGTAGAGGATCTTAATTGCTTAGGACAATATGGTGTGATGAGTTCCACAATGTAGGATGACGAATTTGAAATTCTGAATTTATTAAAATGAAATAGTTCTTTTCATAAGCTGTAAAATTTGGCATGATTTTTTTAAAATATTGTTTTCCATTAAACATTAATAACTTGTAATCTGTTAAAGTGAACAATATCAAATATTTGATGTTTTATAGACGAGTTAGCATGTAGGACATTTAAATTGAAAACAGGCACGCGTTGCAGGCAAACTAATGTTCAGTGGAGGGAGACCAGATACAATGTTGAAGCCCTTGACCTAAAGTGCTGTATCATCTAACCCTTGTTTGCTTGATCTGGAATGGCATGTTAAACCTTTCTTCTGGGGTAATCAGCTCCTGTACTTAAGATAAAATGAATTATCAGATTTGTATGATCAAGCTGTGACTCTTTCACTCGTTGAATTTTCTTAAAGGAAGTTTAGTTTTGTAACTTTACATGGTTTGTGATAAAAAGTTGATGAAAAGGAAATTAAAGAAATATTTAACCGGTTATTGCAAAATCATGTCATTATTGTAACATGAATGATAAGGTTGTATTAAGTTTGTTGCCAACAGGGGTTTTTTGTTTTTTGTTTTTTTCTTTTTGGCTAATGTACTATATCAAAATAGATATTTTAATTTCTCACTTTTAAAGAAAATGAAAAAATGGAAAATAATTAAAAATTACCTTTAAAATCTGTAAAGCAATGTCACATGACATAAGCATTTACAATGTGCAATAGCAAAAAATCTGTGAACAGTGTGTCTATAAATAGGAACTGCCATAACTGTTGCTGGATTTTGATGTTATAAACCAGTGTATGGCCTTATTATTAATGAGTGTAACTACTAGTGACCCTTCTCAATTTTAATCATTAAAAAATGATGATGTATCATTCTTCCCTTTAGAATTGCTCAAAAGTTCCCCACAGGTCATTCTTATCAAGGCTTTGCACCATTCAGTAAACTCTATTTGAACTTTGAAGATATATTGTCAGTTAAAAAATCAGGAAAACATATTAAATTATGACATTTGATGGCTTATTTAAATTACTGTATTTCATTTATCATATAATCAACTTCATTAAGACAGATAGAAAAACAATATTCGTTTTCACAAATTTTTACTACAAAAATCTTTAAATTTATCACCAGCAAATTAAAGGGCATAAAGAATACAGGAACTGTGTTATTTATGCGTCTGCTAACAACATTTTCTCGTTTTTTTATTGTCAATTTAAAGTAAATAAGTTATTTATGATACAGATGATTTTTACCCCAAACACAGACAATGTTGTGTTCTATTCCTGATCACTCTGTCTCAGCGTAAACATGTTTACAGTACCTTATTTCTGTCTCTTATACACATCTAGATGTGTATAAGAGACAGTCCTAACAGTGACCAAAAAAGAAAATAAATGCAGAGGAACTCTTTTCACTGCTCAGTTCTAAAGCACTTTGAAGCTGCCATAATTGAGAGCTTGCTGGAACAGAACTCACGGGAGCTCGAGTGAAAGTGGCATCTGACTGTCCTATCCTACCAACAAAAAAAGTAGAGTGAATTTTGAGGAAAAATATAACAATTAGATTCAGTCAGTTTTCGAGTTTAAGCAAGAGAAGCAAAGTAATTTGTAAAAAGATGATGCTTCAGACATTTTTTTAAAATGTCAATTGACTCTGTGTCTGTAATAGCAAGGAGGTATAATAGCTTGTGGACGATCATTTCAAAGACAAACAGCAGAAAAGATGAATGATCTATTGCCATAGAAAATAGTAGTTGGTTTTCAGACGTTAAGTTTCTTCTGTGTAGAGGATCTTAATAGTTTAGGACATAATGGTGTGATGAGTTCCACAATGTAGGATGGCGAATTTGAAATTTTGAATTTATCAAAATGGAATATTTCTTTTCATAAGCTCTGTAAAATTTGGAATGATTTTTTTTTAAATATTGTTTTCCATTAAACATTAATAACTTATAATAAAGTGAACAATATCAAATATTTGAAGTTTTATAGACGAGTCGGCATGTGGGGCATTTAAATTGAAAACAGGCACGCGTTGCAGGCAAAATAATGTTCAGTGGAGGGAGACCAGATACAATGTTGAAGCCCTTTACCTAAAGTGCTGTATCATTTAACCCTTGTTTGCTTGATCTGGAATGGCATGTTAAACCTTTCTACTGGGGTAACAGCAGACTGCTTAACTTTACTCCTGTACTTAAGATAAAATGAATTATCAGATTTGTATGATCAAGCTGTGACTCTTTCACTCGCTGAATTTTCTTAAAGGAAGTTTAGTTTTGTAACTTTACATGGTTGGTGATAAAAAGTTGATGAAAAGGAAATTAAAGAAATATTTAACCGGTTATTGCAAAATCATGTCATTATTGTAACATGAATGATAAGGTTGTATTAAGTTTGTTGCCAACAGGGGTTTTTTGTTTTTTGTTTTTTTCTTTTTGGCTAATGTACTATATCAAAATAGATATTTTAATTTCTCACTTTTAAAGAAAATGAAAAAATGGAAAATAATTAAAAATTACCTTTAAAATCTGTAAAGCAATGTCACATGACATAAGCATTTACAATGTGCAATAGCAAAAAATCTGTGAACAGTGTGTCTATAAATAGGAACTGCCATAACTGTTGCTGGATTTTGATGTTATAAACCAGTGTATGGCCTTATTATTAATGAGTGTAACTACTAGTGACCCTTCTCAATTTTAATCATTAAAAAATGATGATGTATCATTCTTCCCTTTAGAATTGCTCAAAAGTTCCCCACAGGTCATTCTTATCAAGGCTTTGCACCATTCAGTAAACTCTATCTGAACTTTGAAGATATATTGTCAGTTAAAAAATCTGGAAAACATATTAAATTACGACATTTGATGGCTTATTTAAATTACTGTATTTCATTTATCATATAATCAACTTCATTAAGACAGATCGAAAAACAATGTTCGTTTTCACAAATTTTTACTACAAAAATCTTTCAATTTATCACCAGCAAATTAAAGGGCATAAAGAATACAGGAACTGTGTTATTTATGCGTCTGCTAACAATATTTTCTCGTTTTTTATTGTCAATTTAAAGTAAATAAGTTATTTATGATACAGATGATTTTTACCCCAAACACAGACAATGTTGTGTTCTATTCCTGATCACTCTGTCTCAGCGTAAACATGTTTACAGTACCTTATTTTCCCTGCTGTAGCTCTCTTTTGTATCTGTAAAGTATAATCTTAACCGATCTTATATAATAAGCGAAAAATATTTTATCACTAAAGTGGCTCATCCTACATCAGTGTGAATGCATTTCCTTGAAGCTAACTACCTTCAAATGAGTCACAGTCTAATCAATAAACTCTCTGTTTGTATTCTCTTTCGGATTGTCATTTTTTTTTTTTTTTTTTCCCAAACAGAATTGTTCACATTTTTTAAATTGCTTACAAATTTGCCGATCAAGAAACTTGGTGCCAAGTATTCAGTTCGTAACCATGCAAGCACATCTTTTCTTTTTGTTTTCATTGTTATAACAGTGAACAATAGATTTGAAGGTAAACCGCTCTTAGAAGTGTCATCGCTTAACAATTGTCTTTGTTATTGCTCCTTTTGTCATCGTTGAATACTAGGTTACGTCCCACATGTGTTCAAAACATTTTAAGTCAGACTGTCAGTAGGTTTCCAGGATATCTGCTGACAATTTCACAACTGATAAAACCATTTTAAGCACTAGTATCTTAAATATAAGCTTGTGTTTTGAAAATCCACGTTTTAGTAAACTTTTGAATATGACATACTTGACACTTCCAACTTCAGGGTAAGTTTTCAAGCCATGTTTTGTTAATGTAATTAAAGATTGACAGGTGGAATGTTGGCTTTGGTAACCTGTATCTTATCTTTTTACAGGTGTGCATCAGGATACATGGGAGCCAGGTGTGAGCTCCTGGATCCTACCTGGGAAACACCTAGTTCTGAAACCGGTAGCAGTTGGAACTTGCTCATCATAATTGCTAGTGTTGTTGGTCTTTTTCTCCTCCTATTAGTAATTCTCCTAATGTTCCTGTATTGCTACAGGTAAGCATAACATTTTCCATTATTATTATTAAATATTATTAAAAATATTTAATAAATAAAAATATAACTTGTGTAGTTTTAAAAAAAAATGATTTGCAGTTACTATTCTTTTAATTGATGAGTGAGATTTGTTTGATTTTTAGGTCATTTTCTTCCTACTTTCACTTCATATTATTTTAACTGGCCTGGCATTACAGATAAGAACTACTTAACATACTGTTACTAACAGGTAAATTAAAATTAGATAAAAGTTGTGTGGGCCAGAACAAAATTATGCATTTTTTCTTTCTGGATGTCACTAGGTTACGGAAGCATAAGAAGATTCCCCAACCAGAAGATGTACCTTTACAGATGCGGCAAGGGTCGCTACCAATGCAGCCAAACCCCTGCAACCCCAATACATATGCAGCTGGTATTGCAACTGAAACTGCTGACTCGGAATCAAGGAAGGCTGTGAGTTTCTTTAAATATCATATTATTTAATCATTCATTAAAAAATAGTGACACTGAAATATTAATTCTTATTTAATAATTCTTAAAATTAATTACAAAATCTATTTCATTTCCGTTATTTGCTGTATTATTATTTACTTTATACTGTAGGCACTTTTAGTACTATTGTACTGATTTTCAAAGTGGTAAAGTGATGAGAAACGTATGCAGTGTTATAAATTAGGAATCAATAATAAGAAGAAAAAAAAAGAAGTGTCATTGATGTAGAACATTATTTGAAATGATTTTGGAATGAAAATATTGACATTTTTGGAAATCAATTTTTAATGTGTTCATTCCAGCTTTTTGATGATCAATATTATTATTATTATTATTATTACAGTATTATTACAGTATTATTATTATTATTATTATAAGAAGAAGAATAAGAATAAGTATATCAATGTGAGTTTGCATCACTCCTAGAATAATAATAATAATAATATTAATAATAAAAACAATAAAAACAATAATAATAATAATAATAATAATAATAATAATAATAATAAAGTCTTATATAGCACATAATATAATAAAAATGCCTCTATGTAATGGACATGAACAAAACAATTATTATTTCCTGCCAATATTCCACATTGGAAGAACCAGGTTGTTATGGGTTGGCTATGTGTGCCTTTAGTATGTATTGAGGGTCCCTATGATCAGCTCTGGACTGGCTGGATGGACCACCCTCGCAAAATATTGTTGAAATAAATAATATTTGGTACGTTGATATAAATGTTATCAGAAGTGCCAAGACTAAGATTTGAACCCAGGACCTTCTGATGTGTGTGTAGACATTCAACCAACTGAGCCACTGTAGTTTCAAATCTGATTACAAGCAATTCAATTTTCCCACTCTAGCACATGCATGGAACACCACTAGTTCTTGATGAATAAAAAAAAAAAGAGATGAGAATACATCTTCATCTTAATCATTTAAAACAAAATAGGATTTCAAAATAATCACTCAAATAATTATAATTAAATGATTATTGTTTGGGTTTTCAGAGGACTTTGGGAGATTATCGAAGACTAGGTACATTTGGCAGACGACATAATGATGATGATTACGCCCACATTGAAGAGGATTCTAATCACTACATGATACCACGACCAACGAGTAACGCTTCTTACAGTAGTATATCAACACTAAGCGCTGGAAGCTCTAAAATGAATCAATACGCTGAAACGGTCACACCTCCCTCACCACCAGCAAACCAATACACAGATGCAGATGGACATTATGCCTTGCCACCTCCGCCACCAGTGAATCAATACACAGAATCGGACGGACTCTACGCTGCCTCGACTTTCATGTCTAGCACGAAACGTCGGGATTATGTACCTATGGGAACATCTGCAAATGGCTCGCCAAGAAAAGCACACACTCTAGGCAGGAGAGAACTTGCATCCTACATGAGTATGGATGACCGTCCACTATCACAACATGAGTACTGGGTGACAATCAACCGCAATGGAAAACTAGACCATGTGTACTATAATTCAAGAGACAAGAAAGAAGGCCTCCAGTAGACAAGAAAGGCCTCAAGTAAAAATGACAATCTCTCCAGATATGTGGACATAAGGAGTCTTTAAAGTTACTGGTTGCAGATATAAATGTCTTCCAATATCGATGGACTTGTAGACTTAAGTCTTCCAAAATGATTAAAATGAACAAACACAGAGTTTCCTCATTAATTGATGATGTGAAGATTTTTCATAATTGATGGGCTTTCCAAAAGACCCAGTATTGGTCTTCCAAAATAAATGGACGTACCAACAAAACTATCTTCCAAAATAATCCAGCTTTGTAGATACAGATATCTTTCAACATGGATGGACGTATCAAGATATTTGTCTTTTAAAATGGCTGGCCATATGTACAAAACTGTCTTCCAAAATTTATTGAGACGTGTAAGCAGAATGTTGAAGTTATGTCATTTCCTTATGACTATGCGATGGTTGGACCTACCATGAAAACTGTTCAAAAACATACATTTATTGGTAAAACTCTCGTCCAAGATGGATGTACAAGTCCACATAATTGCTTCCAAATGGACAAAGATACCACCATAGCTGTCTTCCAAAATGGCTTAAGATGTGTAAATAGATTTTTGAAGCTATGTCATCTCCATGACAATGCGATAAATCTTGATGATTTTATAGATGTTGACTATGATTGGTTGATGCTGGTCACATATCATTGTCATGCATTAGACCTAGAGAAAATCTTATTGTGTGATTTAAATTTAATGCTTTGTAGAAGACTTTGTCTAAAAGACAATTATTATATTTAAAAATTTAGATAAATATTTAAAGGTAATTAATGTTAGTGATACCGGTAATATCCCTGTTGAATACATGAAGTACTACAATATTACTGAAATTTTAGTAATTAGATGAAATTGTATTACACTTTCCAAATTTTATAAAAAATATGCCAGGTGTTTTGAATTTGATTGGTTTCCTCTGTTCCTTTTTTCCCTGTTCCTTTTTTCCCTTTCAATTTATGTGACATAGTGATCAAATGTTGTATACCTTATTCAAACATGATAAAATGTTATATGCAATGCATAGGGTTACATGCATCAGTGTGAATGTGCATTTGGGTAGGGTTAGCATAGGTCACCTGCTAAATATGGGCATGTCACATAAATTTGTCACATAAGGTTTAATAGTGTGGACATAGCTTCAGGTTAGCATTTGTCCCCTGCTAAACTGCATCTGTGTGAATGCGTGTCTGTAATATTACCATGTGTCCACTTCAAATTCAACGTAAGGAAAACAGACATCACAGAGGTTTGTAATGTTCCCGACATATTTAGCATCGACCTGTGCACATGCTCAGTAAACACAATTTATCTTTAACTATGGTGCCACGCTGTGGCGCCACTCGACATTGGGCAAGGTTTGCATTCACATGTGTGAGGACAATGGTGATTTTGATAGGAATATCTCAGGAAGTCTGTGTAACATTTAACATGCATCCTGTGCAACAATTTGTCTCTTGGGTACTGTATTTGTGATCCGTACAGGATTATGACTCTTTAGGAATTAATTTTAGTTTAATGAAATACATGCAATTATAGAAAAAAATACATGAAATACAAGGACAGTGTACTGTTGAAGAGTTATCAGGAATGAAAGATGGCACAAAAACAAACAATACTGTACAAGGCTATGCTGTTGGAGAGATATCAGGCTGGCAAATTATATACAAACAAACAAATAAACAATACAAGGCTACTATACTTTAGGGGAGATATCCACGATAGCAAACTGATGCATAAACAATACAAGGTCAAGTAAGGAAATGATTATCTGGAATGACTAATTATACCATTATAAACAAACAAACAATATCAACACTAATTTTTACTAAAGCAGTTAAAATTTTGTAGAGTATTTTCTTGTAATTTACTTTTTAAGTCACACAAGTCAGTAGTACATTTTGTTTACAGCTTCAGAAGGATCACCTATCATTGACTACATCCAACCTTTTCCTCTATCTGGGCAGCATTTCAAACAGACTGCAGTGCAGTGCATAACATTGACCATCACATAATCATTCATTGCCACAATGAATTTAGATACAATACCTCAAACTAAAGGACCATGTGACATTTGGACCCAGACCCCAAACCGAGCTATGCATCCATTTAAGGATGCCAACTAAGTAGGACTCTTTTTAAGTGTAGTGAATATTATTTCTGTTGCCTGAAGGAGTGGACCATCCTTTGGTTGTGAGGTAAATCCCTTTAAGGATTTATCTACTATTGAAATTAGTGTTATAATATTCTTTAGTTATTTTTAACACAGCTGTTATACTGTAACTATTTTATGAAGAACTTCAATATTGTAAATAAGCCGACAATGTAGACATACCTTTGTTAATATTAAAAATAGTAAATATGTATTAAATATATGTGAATTCCAATTATCTGGATATGTAAATAAAACGTGTTCGACTTAATGGTGGTATAAATTCAAATACCTCTATGTTTGTACTGTTGTATTTCAGACAGTTTTCAAGATGGTCTGGTTTGTCACTTTGGTGCCAAAATAGACTAGAAGTCTTTCGGTAGCAAATAGGTAGTGAATTTGTTTACTGGTATTATTGTGATTCAGTATTAATTTAAGTCATTGCTATATACTAGGATACCAAGATCGTTTTTAAAGTGATCTTTCATATAATATGTTATTATGCTTAATGATCTTAAATGCATGCTTCCCTTCCTTTAGGCCTAAAATATTAATCCTTTTTTAAAATAAACATTAAGAATCGCATAATCTGTTTATCAGGCAATAATTCAACACAAGTGTCAACTTTTGCCATTGAGCTAGAAGACTCTTGACCTTTAACTGTTTTAAAGTTTCTGGTTGTCATTAAATAGAGAGGGCGCCATAACAAAGAAAGGAATAATCCAAGTAAACAAACTCTTTCAGAGCTTTATGGTGTTTTGGTGCCAACAGACTTTGAGCAGGTGGCACTCAGAAAACTTGAATAACAAGTGTTGTTTTGAACAACAGTTCAATCACTTATATGCCAAGTAGTAACAAATCAATTTTATACTCACCGACCTATGATAAGTCAACCGTAACTCTTTCATTAAACTACCTTCCAACTCAACTTTCATAAAACATATGACTTTCAATTGTACATTGTGCTTTCCTCCTGCAAAATGCAATAAATTCCATCTGGGATCAATAACCATGTTTGTGTAAGAATCATTTGTTGTCATGTGTGTGCTATTTGATTTGATCTACTGGGGGCAGATGCAGGACTTTGTGGTAGGGGGTGCATAATAATGATGATAAAATTTTGAGAATATGGACCTCCATGTGCCTGGAAATTGCATTCCCATACTTTTAAAATCTTACTGGTAGCCCGGAAATTGCACTCCCATACTTTTAAAATCTTACCGGTACTATATTTTTAGTGATAAAAATAATATGTCAGTAGGACGATACAGCAATTATTTTTCTAAATGGTTAGTATTGATTGTTTATAGAAGACACCTATCAATATCATTCTGTCATGATATGAACATCTAATGTTAATTTATTGTGACTCGTATAAGCATGCCTAAACCTAGTTTATCATCATCAACCAAACATATAATTAATAAATTTTATTTCCCTTCTGCGAAATATCAAAATACAACATAAAATAAAACCCAATATAGGCCTAAACTACGGAATATTATTGCTGCGAAGCAGCCATTTCATATTCTTGACAGCAATTTGACCTCTGAAAGGTCATTGTTTGTCAAAAAACAAGGGCCTAAGACAACTGAAAAGCGGAGTTTCCTTCTTTCGTTCTGCCAGGTAAAATCAATTACTTTAGGCGACGTTTGTAGACTAACCTACACGTACCAACGTCTGCATGTGGCGACGCTCGAGTATTACTATTCAGCGTTTATACTATATTTCTAGGTTTCCTATTTCTACGTTTAATCGGCCCATATCTCAGCCACAATATTTTGAGGCCAATATTATTTTCGAACCCAGAACTTATTTATTAGCCAATTTCAGCGTGCTAATTATTACATTTAGGCGACGCTTGTTGTAGACTGGCATACACGGTACCAACGCTCGTTTTTACTATGTTTCTACGTCAGCTCGTCAGTGTTCTAATATAGACAATGGGTCGTGTCTCATATTATTTGTTATATTTTTATTATTCATTATTTTCACTTGACTCCCATAAATAATTTTGTTCGAAGGACATTTATAAGTACTTCGCAGCACTTCAATTGCAATTTGCAATTTCTAGTTATTATATTACTGTTAACTGAGGAAACTTTTTGGCATGCAGGGTAATGTATTTCAACCAAACCTATCTTTTGGCAGTAACACATTTAGCTGACTGATTAAAAGGTCAATAATAAATTCACCAACCACAAGCTGAACTACAATAATTATCATCTTTAATACTATATGATGGTGGGTGTGTTAAAGCCTGTGTCATTAGCCCTGGATATGCACAGGAATTACCACTATGCTTACAATCATGGCTCCCTACCTATCTATACCTAAACAGGTTTTAAACGTATTCCTGAACAATCTGTTCATAATAACACACATATCAGAATTACCTTTTATTTCCAGAAGCAAGAATTATGATGAAATAAGTAAACGTTCTAACTTCTAAGCAGATCATCTTTCCATACAGTACCTCTTTTGTTTCTCTTTACATTTGAAATCAACAGAGGGCGTTAACATCCATCGATTTTATTTGGGGTTTTTTTTTTGCCCATATTTTTCGAACCCATCATACCTTTTTTTTCAAAAGTCGTGACGTCATATAATATAGTAGTTCTTAACAATTTGATACCAAACGTTTCGCCAATAAAATGAATAGAAAGGGGTCGAATAAGCCGAAATTTTGCTGCCAAAGTTTTAACCCGTTTTACGGTATTTTGAAAGACGGACTCTCGGAAGTTAGTTGGTAACACATAAATACGTACACTGTACAGATATATCTATAATTGTGGGCAAAGGTAGACCGCGTCTGTATTTCAGACAATTTTTTAGATGGACCGTTTGTCATTTCGGTGCTGATCAGTGGAAAAACGTCTTTGGTATAAAATAGTTTTTTTGACTGGCAATATTGTGATTCAGTATTTTTGAGTCATTGATATAATGTACTACACAGTATACCAAGACTGTTTTTATTGTGTATCGTAAGTTACATTCGATTATGTTATAATACTACTTAAATGTTGCTTCCCTTCTTGTAGGCATAAAATATTACATCATTGCCGCTGAAATACAGTTTTTTGAATCATTTTATTAAATAAACATCAAAGGAATCGCACAATAGGCCTACTCACAGAAATATATTAGTTTAATATAATACCTCTATGGCCTACTTAATAGGTCATCTGTTTATCAGGCAAATAATTCGACTCAAACTCAAATGCCGGAAGTTTTACCATTGAACTACTGTACAGCTAGACCTCGGTCCTTTCTGAAGTTTATGGTTGTCATTAATTAGAGAGGGCGCCATAACAAAGAAGAAGAGAGCCATGGATAGATAAAGCAATTATAACAAGTTAACAAAACCATATAAAGAGACAACTAATAGTGTCTCAGACAAAACGCAGTCAGTCTGTGTGGAGTTTTGGCGCCAAAAGATTATTAAACAGATGACACTCAATAATGGCTGAAGAGCTCAAATAACAAGGGTTGTCGATTATTAGTTTTTCCTCTTCATTCAATTTCCCATCAAATCAATTGTGACAATCAATATCACGGATATATGATGGCAACCATATTTTATTCAATTACTGACCGACTTTCATTAACAGTATCGCTGTAATAACGTATTAATGTAATATCTTAGGTTATTGGCCTATGCCAAAATAAAAAAATCCCTGGTAGTAGTAGGGTACACGAAGAGAGTTTCAAGGCACATGCCCAAGAGTCATGCTTTTAGCAGCAGTTGGCGTCAGAAATGGGTGCAATATATCCGGCGGAGGGGTCTAAGCCAAGGGGCCGATGAAGGCTCGGAATAAAAACTCCCTTGTAGTGTTCACGGGGAGAGTTTTATGGCTTAGTGTTGTCCAAAATGTGCTTTTTAGACCGGATTAGCAGTCAAAATAACGTTATTTAGATAGGTAAATTATTATCGTTTTAAAAATTGTTGATCCGACGACCTAGAAATGCGTTGGACGGCAGGGGGATTCAGGTCTGTCCGACGGTGAGAAGGGTCCACCCTGACCCCCCCCCACCCCCACTGAAGCTACCGTACCACTGGCTTTTAGATCAAAATATTAGGGATTGGCAATCGAAAGATGGATAGGCAAATTATTATTTGCAACATACGTCGTGGCGTCGGATGACGGGCCCCAGGCCTATCTGACGTGGGGGGGGGGGAGATTTTCCCTGACGACATACTGACGAGGTGTGATAATCACAAACGTATTTACCAGAGGACCATGGTTTGCGAAGACTAGTGTTTATTACATGGAAATTGCTTTTGAACACTTCTAGGCTCTAATCATGAATATGATCATTCTCATTATTAAATTGTTGACGACAGCAATTCTGGTCCCGTTCATTATTACAGCGATCTTACCGCAATCGATTGATTTGCACACGGTACACTTTTTTCTGACGTTTATCTCTTTGTGACGTTTTGAGTTAAGCATGTCTTGACACGATATGCTGCGATATGCTGTGCAGAAACTATTTTAGTGTGAAGTCATTACCTACAAATACTGTTTTAATTATTCACAGTTTGTATGAATAAAATAATAATATGTTGTATAATTTTAGATATTATATATTTATGCTTCATGTATACGTGTATCAGTGCAGAATATGTGATTGTAATCAGACAAAATGTATTTGTTTGTGCCTTGAATCCCTTCTTTGAAAATAGTATGTTCTATTTTATTCGCGCTGATTGAGAACATCCAATCCGTGGATCTCCCGCCAGTTGCTTTCTTTCGAGCCGAAACCCGCGAATTTTTCCCGCAAGTTCATTTACGTTTGTGTTGTCATCCAGCTTACGTTTGGCTTGCAGAGACTACCTGGTAGAATCTGAAAGTTGTTGGAGCATCAGTCGCTAAATTACATATTCAGTTAAATAAAATACTAAATTATATTTTAATTAATATATTCTGTTTATTAGTTTCAACAATTAACTTTTATATCAAGATGTTTGAAGCAAAACTTGTACAAGGAGCTGTCCTGAAGAAAATTCTTGAAGCCATTAAAGATTTGGTCGTCGATGGATCATGGGACTGCACATCTACAGGTAAGATGGTACATACATAGCCTAGGGCTCTAGCTTAGCTATATACGTGTTCGATAAAACACCTAGGGGCCTACACTAGGCTAAGCTTCAACACGACTGGCTGGTAGCAAACTCTAATTTATTATAACAAGTCTAGCCTAGGCGAAGCTAGGCTAGGCCTAGGCCTAGCCTCAGTGGCGGCCCTAGGATATATTTTCTGGGGGATAAGTTTTCCGACAGGGGAACTTGAGCTCTTAGGCTCGAGCTGGGAGAAGTGGTTGAGAGGGGTCCCCCTCCCAAATGAGATTTTTTTTTTAAAAATATCAACCTCTAGACTTAGATGGCCGAAAATGGCACTCTCAGACTGACAGACATGTGTTGGCTTGGTGTGGGCCTACTGGGCCTATTTTTATATGTTTTATGATCTGACTGCCCGAGGAGCTCTGTCCGGCGGGAGGGGGGCGCCTTGGCCTGTCCGGTGGGGGGCTTAAGCCCCCCTGCCACCCCGCTGGCGCCGCCACTGCCTAGTCTGGATGGATGGATGCGTCAAGTCATTATTAGTATTACTTAGCTGGGCTAGGATAGAACTAGGCTATAGCCTAGTAGTAGTACTAGTATATTTTTACTCATTTCGCATGAAATTTCAACACACGCAACATTCAATAATAAGTATCGACCTGGCCTAGCTAGAAAGGCCTCTCTAGGCTAATCCTATTCCTAGGCTAGCCTACAGCAGTTGGAAAGCAGAGCGCAGCAAGGACCGAGGAGGGACAATGGCTATACACTAGTCTTGATTGGATGTTAATACTACTAGCCTAATCCAATGCATACTGTATTTATCACCCATTATCTTCAGTTAATTTTAATTTTTGCACACCACTACACTAGGGCTAGGGTGTGCATTAGTGCCGAAATCTTTACACGGGTATAGGCCTAACAATTAATAGTTATTGTTAATTAATTTTGATATTGACAGGAATCACCATGCAGGCAATGGATAGCAGCCACGTCAGTCTAGTAACCTGCTTGCTCCAAGCAGATGGCTTTGAGAATTTCCGATGTGACCGCAACATCACCATCAGTATTAACTTGGCAACGTAAGTAAACGATTGGTTGTATATAAATTAAGTGTACACTATTGCATACAATAAATGCTTATTCCATGATACAAATACTGTTTCAATTCATTAAACATGTGATACAATTAAATTTAATAAAAATTTAAGTCTTGTGGTATCCCCATCGGTTCTGGTGTGAATTAATAATAAATGTAAGTTAATATGTTAAAATTTATTTCATTGCAGAATGTCGAAGATTTTGAAATGTGCAAGTAACGATGACCTCATCACACTCCAAGCAGAAGATAAGCCAGACACACTTTCCTTCAAATTTGAATCACCAAATCAAGATAAACAATCAAATTATCAGGTGAAACTGATCAACTTCGACAAAGAGCATCTTGGAATTCCTGTAAGTGTAGGCCCTATAGTAGTTCATAAATCATAACACATTTTCGTTTTATATCAGGGTTCGAATTTTCCGACAGCGATTGCTGTAGAAAAGGCCGCCTACTGCTGCGGTAGATCCCAGGATCAACAGCAAGCTTTTAGCATAGGCCTAGCAAAGGATTTTACTCTTAAAAACAATAAAAAACTGTTGAAGAATAGTAAATTGATGTAGTAAAGCCGTGGCCACAGCAACTTCTTGCTGATGAAGCATTTTGAAGAAATTCGAACCCAGATGTATGTTTAGCATTAATTCATAATATTAATTCTATTGGTGACCCGTGCTATTCACCTACTTTAAATGTTGACCCATTATCTAATATAAGGATATGTATGAGCAAATTCTTATTTTGTAATGGTTGATATGTGTTGAATAATAGTTACCCTGGATTTGAATCAAAATTTTTATGGTAGATTATTCCATTTTTCACACTAAAAAGCCGAAATTGTTTTTTTTAAATTGGCAGCAGGTTGTAAAAAAAACTTTTGCCTGTTTCTGCAAAAATTAAATTACACTTGTACGCAATGAGTACTGTGCATGTGTGCGGTATTCTATTTCCAAATGCTTGCACAAAAAGCATTTGGCTGTAGTTTTTGCTACACTTAGTTCACCCATTTACACTAACCCCATACGGTGTATCGACAACGGGCAAGTAAAAGTGGGTTTATTCCGAGGTCCGCTGATAGTGTAAAAGGGGTATTAGTCTGTTCTTTTCTCTTGGATTGATTGTCACATCAAAACTATGTTTTATGGTAATTTCAGGAACAAGAGTACAAGGCTGTAGTAAATATGCCAGCAGCAGAATTTCAAAGAATATGCCGAGACTTGAGCCAGATTGGAGACACTGTCACGATAGAATGCACCAAAGAGGGGGTGACATTTTCCTGTGAAGGTGACCTAGGCAGTGGAACTATTAACTTGGTACAAGATGCTAATATAGACAAGGAGGACAATGCAAGTATTTGTTCATATTTAAAATATGTTAATTTAAGTGCAATTTTGGCCTATTTTAATGTTATCAGTATGTTTTGTAGGGAACCAGTCAATTCGAGCGAATGCCAATTCAAGTGGCAAAAAATCCACTTTTGCGGACAACAGGCTGTGCGAGTTAATATACGAATTAGTTTCAAATTCCCTATTTAGAGCTGCTAACAATTTGATAGTTTGTCGCCCTCTTCGGATTCAAATTTGATATTACTGTACTGCTAGTATACTGGTACTAGCCTTTTTTCGGCTGATAACCTGTTTAAATTTTGGGGGGGGGGGGCGCTGCCTCTCTTAAATCCACTTATGTATGACCTAACCCATCTTCATTTTTACAGTTGTGCAATGTCATTACTGTACTGTTGATAGTCTTGTCACACTACACTAATGGTTTGTGCAGGCTTTTGACACTTAGATATGTAAATATAATTCAAATTTCTGTAGTGAATAACAATTACATTTAGGCCTATTTCCATTTACAAATATTATCATCGTAAATTTACAAATACAATTACAACTCTATATAATTCAATTACAAATATAATGTGCTTTTTTAAATACAAAAGTGACCCCAAACTGGAGACAAAAACTGAATTCAGAAACGTGCACAATTTAATAGTTTTAAAACAAAAGTTCTTGTTAGCAGTCATCTGGTAATCGAATGAGGGCGACAAACAACGATCTAAACATTCTTTTTGGTTAAACTCACCTTTGATTATAATTCGCACTAAATGCATCCACTCAAACTGGCATCCGCTGGCATATCATGTATAGATATTTTATTGTGTTTTTATTTTTACTTGCTAATCTTTTTTGTAGTCTTATTACTGTACTGTGTATTTGTGAAATTGCCAGTGGAATCAATTTTCTGATCTTTTTCAGACAATAAAATTATCTTAAAACATGAAGAATAGAATAATGGGAGATTTGTAATAAAAAAAATATTGTGTAATTGGAGGGAGGAAATTACTGTTAAATACTTTTGTCACTTGAATAGTCTTTTTGAATCAATACAAGATTTTTATATGATGATTATGGACTGAATTAGAAATTGTTTCAATAATTTTTTGTGGAAAAAAATTGCTTTCATTGTGAATAAACCAAGGCAAAGCTGATATTAATCAGGCAAACTGCTTTAGAAACATTGCACAAGGGATTGTTGATTTAAGTTTCCAATGATTAATTTTTGTAGGTGACGGTAAAAATCACAGAACCTTGCAAGCTAAACTTTGCTCTGAGGTACCTCAACTACTTCACCAAGGCAACACCACTATCATCTCAGGTTATTCTATCTATGACAACAGAAGCACCACTAGGTATATTATTTTTACTTTTTTATTGTGCACAATTCAATTCACAATGCAGAATGAACTATTTTAAAATTCAAATACAATTACCAGTAAATGATTTTTGCATACATGTTAAAAAATAATAAATATTTACAAAAATGAAAGGCTGTCTGTTTATTTATTGATGAGATAAAAGCCCACTTTTTCCCTATTTCAACCAATTTTTACTAATTTTCTTTTTCAGTTGTTGAATACAAAATTGAGAACCTTGGATATATGCGATATTATCTGGCACCAAAGATGGAAGAGGATGAATAAATTATCACTGACAGAATAATGGTTGGTGGGGGATCAACATAACAAATCCAGATGGACGTTAAACCTGGATACTTATAGACATTATTTTGTACATAGTACAACTCATTAGCTTCTGTATTTAATGTTTTTAACAGGATTTAAAAATAAGCAATAGCTCCAGTTACTCCAGACAGTTTCAAAAGTTCTGCCAGCAGACTCATGTTTGTTGTAGAAGTTTCCTTGACAATATTCGATCTATAAATGAAACAATGTAAATGTAATATTAATTTATATATTTCATTACAATACCATAACAATATACAGTATCTACTAAGATGATGCCATTCTAAATATGTAGACACATTTGTATATATCAGTCGAGAAAATAAAATTTTCGGCCCTACAGTAGTCTCAATTTGCATCTCAGTCAGTTCTCTAGATACTATTTTGTATTCATTACTGACCACTGCCATGCTTAAACCCCCGGTCCTACCACCAGCATTTTTCCAGGCACAAAGTACACTACATGTACTCTCAACATGTTAAAAACAATTCCTGGTGATCACATTTACCTCAGGCCTGCCATGGTTGGGCTGAACAGATTTTAAAGACAGACACTTCTAGACTAAAAATATTTTCGAAGCAAACAATCCCACCTTTATTGTAAGTACTGAAAATAGCTGTAAAAATGTAATGTAATTAGATAGATTGTTAATTAATGGAAAACGACAATTTTGGCATTTAAAATAAGATCAACTTAGAAATTATTTAACTGTATAGCGGTGTGAACTTGCTTCTCCCCCTAAAGGTCTCTTCGTGGCTGAGTTATCCAGTAAACCGGGACCAGTACTCGGATAAGATAGTATAATACATACTCCAAGTATCGAAATACACGCCATCGTGTCATCATCAGGAATTTCCTGATGACATAATTAATGTCGAAATATTGAATCCGAGATTATCAGTGGACCTTTCGGTACAGTACTCTGTTTTTTAAAGTGCACATGAACCTACGGTTTATAGTCCGTATCTGAGAAGATGCGTTTCACCACCAGAACTATAGACGAGCATGCCGTTCGAAGCAGTGCTGATATTACAGCTGTACATTGCAGCGCTAACCAACTTGCCATGAATATGTTATATTTTTTAGCAATGTTGCGCGCACCATATTACATCATGATTCAACAAACTTTGTACCTAAGTGTTTCTGGATGTTCTTTGATATTATTACTTCAAGTTTTTTGCACGGAATTTCACCAAGCTCAGTTTTCATGGCCAATTCGTTGGCAATATCTTTGGCATTCTCACCCTGCAAAATATAAGACCAAAAATATGTATTATCAAAGACGCCTAAAAACATGAGACAACTCTCCACTGTAAAAATACATGATCCTGTCACATACAGCACCCCATTAAACGACGCGCCCAAGCCTGTAGCCAGGGTGTTTAAAAGAACCCCCTTTTCAGATATTCACAATAACTTTATTAAATCAATTTCCTTTTCATATATATTTTTTTTTTACAATTCTCATTTGAAAGATTGATTGAAAAGGCATCAAGTACAAGCAAGCTTTAAGTTCTGATGCCCTACAAAGAAATAACAATTACTACAAAATAAAAAGATAATAATAGAAGATGATAATTTATAAATCATGATTCTTAAAAAAGAGTAATGAAATGATATGATATATACAATGAAAACAAAGTAAAATTACGACCAAGTAAAGTAAAAATTACCAGTTTTATCTATATTTGTTAAGTACAGTAGTTTGTTGTGTAAATCTCTTTGAAATAAACTAATATTTTTGTAGATTTTTTATATTGTGTTCTAAGCCATTCCATATTTTGGCGCCTATATAGCTGTTACTGTTTTGTCCTATTTTTGTTTTCATATGTATAATAAAAGACATGACGAGTTCTATCTTGTATTTCTAAAGCAGAACAACACAAGTTAATTTGATAAATGTCTATTGTACAAATATACCAACATTAACATTAAATACTATATTGCTTAAAATAACCTTAAAACCTACTATTACAAAAAACCAGATGAATTTATTTCAACATTGCTTAAACCCTCAGGAGGAATTAAATAATTACTTTAAATTGCATTCAATAAAATTTAACCGAAAAACACTTTCCTCGCCTACTGTGATGGACATAATCTAGAGCTCTCAGCACCATTCCCCCAACTAGTCAAATCTGGGACTGCAACATTAAGGCTCCATGTGTGCATTTGTGGAATAACAGCATTTCTTCAAAATGTCCTACCTTGTATACTACTCTGTTATGAATTTGCCCGTGATGGTCTGTATATTCAAGTTTGAAGAGTACAACTAAAAATTCTTCTGACTCTTTCTGTGGCTCTTCTTCTTTTGCTTCAACATCATCTTGTTCTTTTGCTTCTACATCTTCTTGTTCTTTTGCTTCTACATCTTCTTGTTCTTTTGTTTCTACATTTTCCCTGTCTTCTTTACTTTCCAGCTCGCTCTGTTCTGCGGTTTCTAGAATGTTTTCTTGTTTACTTACTTCTAAAAATGAAAAAAAGAAAACTTGCTTGTTAACTTGGTACTGTTAATAAACATGGCTGAAATGTATTTTATGACAACCAAAATTCAGTTACCATGGTAACTTACCAGCATATGCGTAAAATCAGAGGGATTTGAGGTCAGATAAATACAAATTAACTTCAGAAACAGCCTCGACACCAGTTGGTGGACCCCCTTTTCTGAAGCAGCATTGATTTCATTCATTGATAAAATTAATTTTTTTTTGTTGATACTTAAAACAACCATCATTACAGTTGAACTTACCTAACATTGAAATTGAATGCCTTGACTTAGGCAAGTTTAACTGTATTGGCTTTACAGTATTTATTTATTTATTTATTTATTTATTTTCTGATTCTGGGTGCTTTGAATCCTTTGGAAAAGGTGCGACACCAAATGCATGACCATTAATTACCGTTAAAAAATAACTGTGAATCAAAGCATGTGCACAAACCATACAAAGCAATGCATTCAATTACAATTTTCTCACCTGTATTTTCCTCGGCCCCCTTCCTCATTTGTGGTGGTAGGTAATATTCTCGGGTACCCCTTGAGATTTCAGTTCTTTTTTTGTTTTTTTTAAGTTGTTGAGAGGTCTTCACCTCCTTGTCGTATTCATCTCTGAAAATGTAAGAATAAGGAATAATCCTTGAATAAAATTTTAATAATAATAATATCAAATGCCCTCCCAAAAACACATCATGAAATACTGGGGTGGATGCAGGCAGTGCAATTGCACTCTCTAAATTAAGGAAATTAATTACTGGTAAGATTTTCAAGGTATGAGAGTGTATAGTTCAATTCTCAAAATGTTCTCACCTCAACCGTGGTGGGGCTGAGGTGGTATGGACTCTCACATACTCACTACCGCCAAATCCTGCATTCTCCCCAAAAAACTCCCTCAAAACATATTATTTATCTCAAAGCTGACATACCTTACATGCACACTACCTGATGAAGGGCAATGCCCAAAAAGTTGTGTATTTATTAAATTACTTTACAATATAACACATCTGCAAATCTTATACATAGTTACCAACCGTCTCGCATCGTGCGGGACGGTCCTGCATTTCAAAGTGATTTTGGATGGAACACGCATTTTGCAGAAACACATGCGTGATCATTTGTCACAAATTTTGGGGAAAATGTATTTAAAATTAGAAGAAATTGGTTTTATTAAAAATATAAAAACGGTGATGCTTGAGTCATCAGACAGTATTTTCGTGAATACTTAATTCTTCACTGATGCCTTATTAATCAGCATGCCTATTAAATTTTTAAGCAATAAAATGGTTGTATACATAGTTTGGGTGCTCAAATTAAACATTTTAATGTACATTGAAACTCAAATTGTGGCTTTATTAAAAATATTTTTGTTTATTTAGGCCCTGTCTCTTATACACATCTAGATGTGTATAAGAGACAGGGTAAATACATTGTTCGAATAAAGGACATAATAATACATCGTGTAGCATAGCTCTCAACGAATGTAGTCCTGTAAATAAATGATCGCACACAGTGCCACCACCAGTATAGCCGGCTGAGCTCGCTCTCATGACAAGTGACAACCAAGTGAGTTGTATATAGTAAAATCTACCACCTCTTTGCTAGGCCTATACGTAAATTACATGTTATAACGGGGGTTTTTTTTTTGTTTTTTTTACATTTATTCTATATAAAGTTGCATACGATAGTGCCAAGCTGCAGAAATCAAATGCGTTCAAATAATAATTTATAGCCTAGAGTACTGTACTGAGTAGGCATATCTATGTCACCTAAATTTTGGCTCTAGCTAGGCCTAGCCTAGGCCTACTACTAGAGGCCAGAGTTCACGCGGTTCGGGTAGCGCTCCACCTGTTGTAGCCTAGGTAGGCCTAGCCTCACTGTATAGCCAGCCAGGGAGGTGGGCATTCATACCTGCTTACTTGGTTTCGAATGATTTGCTTTACAAAACCATGCTTCATATCCAGCCTGCTGGCTGCTGCGGAAGACGTACTTTCGTCGTCCATCCTGACTACTGTACATAGTATAATAATTATGCACCAAAGAATAATTGTATGCACTGACGATATTTTGTTTATACATTACACTATTTCATTTACTGACTGTAGAGGGGGTGGTAATCAATTTTTTGATGATCAATATTTTAGCTTCATGCGTTGGTATATACATTACAAGTTATAACTAGAAAAATGGTAACAGGATTAGGCCCTACCGAATTATTGCATTTACATTGGTGTCAGTTGTTAAATAGAAGCCATTTTTTTTGTTTGTTTAAAGTTGTTATTCTTTATTACAAATGGCTTGTTTAGTAAATCATTTTGGAATGTGTCATAATGAAATGATTTTAATGAAATGAAGAAATGGTTTTTGAAAGAAATTCTCTCCTCTTGAGACAGTTGAAATTAATATATGATATCGAAGTGGAAATGATTAATGTATTTAAAATATTTAGGTACTATAATTGATAATGACCATAATTGGAAGGCTAACTTATACTTAACTAAAAAAGCAAATCAACGTCTGTTCCACCTGAGTAAACTAGATCAATTTAGAGTCAACAAGAATGTTTTAGTATTATTTTTCACTGGTGATATTTGAAGTGTTATTGTATAATTGTATTGTCTGGTTCAGCAATTTGACAAAATACAACAAAAGTAAAATCAGGAAATCCATAAATCATGCAGGGTGTGTTATGGGCAGTAATCCTAATGTATCCAAAACCACTGAATTGAAGAGATGAATTTAAGTGCTTTGAATATGCTAGATAGAATTATAAGATGTAAACCATCCATTAAACTGTAACATAATGAATTACTCCGACATCTGTAAGGCTTAGGCCAATATCATGTCATACTAAACGCTACAGAGAATCATTTCTACCAAATGTAATCCATATATTTAATACTATATTGTATTATTATATATGTACTAACCTATATTCATTATTCTCTATTCATATATCATAGTTTATCATATTTTATACTTTTTTTTATCTTCTCTTGTATATTTGTTCGTCATATACCTTGAAACTTGTAATTTCATTCCAACTCAATTCAAATACCTTCTCAGTACAATTACTCAATCATGCAATATATATCTATATATTTATTTGTCATATCTGTTGTTTTAATATTGTATATTTAACCATATTGTAATGTCTTTTTAAGTGTTTTTAGAAACTGGCAAAACCAATTTTCACAGACTACAAAGAATACAATATTTTCCACAAACAATTTATTCTATCGCAAAATACAATCATATTATTTTATATTTCATCACATCATCTTTATAAACCAATAAAGAGGTAAAATTTGGGAAATCTGGTATTCACTTACGAATGAGTGGTTTTAATTTACCATGATATATTTAATTTGGTCTCGATGACCTTTCCAGACTGTCAATCAGAGCAGGGTCAGAAATATGCACATATCCCACAAGACCTTAGCAACAACATCCAAGGGGCGAGGCTTACTGGAAAGGTTCATTAATAGTGTACAATGCATATTCATTAAGGTTCATTAATAGTGTACAATTTATATTCAATAAGGTTCATTAATAGTGTACAATGCATATTCTTTAATAGCACTGGAAGCAGAAACTGTCTGGATTCACTGGAATGCTACAAAAATTGTCTAGGGTTTAATCGACTATCGAATTACTACATTTTTTAAATTAACATTTTTTAAATTTATCATTTTACTTTTTATGCTCATATTATGATTAAGCATCTTTCACTGAATACAAGAGTACAAGATGTGATATTATATCAGTAAAAAGATATATAATACATATATACTATAGCTACCATTTTTCAATACTATGAGTCCAAAAGTAATACTGGTATAGTATTGTAAAAATAAATTAAAAACCCATTTATTCTCCAGATCCAAGCTTAGTAAACCACAATCAATTTAACATTTTATATTCAATATTTTTCTAAATCATAAAACAAATATTTAACACAAATCACTAATTAAACACATTCAAGCAAAAAACCCTGTTTTCAGTGCCAGCGTCTATGAGTATTAAATTTGGGAAAATGGAGAGGGACTGAAGAGGGAGGGCTGATGTGGGTAAGGGGGAGGGGAGGGCATAGTAGGAGGACTTGATGATAAAGTGAGAGGACTCAAAATAAGGTAACTTTTAACTACCTGAGTCTAATGTTTTTGCCTAAAAAAAATTGCCATTGGGGGGGGGGGGGGGGGGAGAGAAGAGAAACCGGGGTCCCACAAGATATTTTTTAGGGGAGGAAACATCTTCCCCCATAGATATGCCACTGTCAGTTTTACAAAATGGAAAGTATATTTTATCAATTATGATAAACCAGATAATGTACAGTTTTTTATATGAACATAAACCAGATACACTAAGAATTTATTAAACAACCACTTATCTGAAAATATACAGTATGGCTTCTACAAATAGTACATCATTTCTCTGACAAAATGATTATAAACAGTATTTGAATTATTATATCCTGACAAATTTTACTATTGTCAGAATTTTTTTTAAATATCTTTGATGTGATATGTTCGCACCCTCTCAAAATGGTTTTGTAGGATCGGAGGGGGGGGGGGTTGTAACCAAATTGTTTAGGTAACCGAGATTAGCTTTAAAGCTCATTTGTCCAAAAAAAATATTTTCCTGGTGCAAAGGTCAATGGTAACAATATGAGAACGCATGTACATGTAACAATACAGTTAAAAAGGCTAGTTTAACATGCAATGTTTAGAAAGGTCTGAAAATTCATTTTATAGTGTGGCATAGGCATACTAACATGTATGCGATTGGAAGCCTAGCTGATATGCCCACGCTTTAAAATGAGTATGAACTTGGGGATAGGGCATACGATACAGGCTGGATATGGTATATAGATTTATTTCATTTATTTAAAATATTCATTTAAAATATTTTATCAGTTAGAAATTAGAGTATTTAAAAAATATTTACCCATAACATTACCAGATAAATAATAAAAACACTTCCAGTCACGGAACTGTTTCTATGATTTTTTTTTTTTATTATTATTATCCTTCATAAAAATAAGGGTAAACATTTTTAAATTGAAAAAATTTCAATGCTAAAGTTGTTACCTGATAATGAGTAAATTAATTTTGAAAATGCAACATTAAGCTGGCAACAACTTTTAGTTGGCTTACAATTTATTGATTGTGTGCAATGACAATAGATTGAATTGAGTTGCAGTAATGATAATATTTTTAGCACCATAACACTTCCCCTTTGGATTGTAAAGTAAAAACAACCTGCCTACATCACCTTTCTAAATGGGTGAGGATCAATATTATATCAGGCCTAAATGCATAATTATGCATGGATTTTACTTTTACAGATCATCTATTCAAATGAGCAGACAATTACAATAAACAGATTAATCACTAATGAAGAAGTAATAATTAAGACATTTCAAAATGAATAAATAAATGATTAATTTGAGAAATAAACTGGAATAGATAAGGCTAAAAAAAATATTTGCATTGCCTAAGCATAGTAACAATTGTGAATTAGTTTCTGTTGGTCATTTATTTTAATAAGTAGGCTTTCCCAAATTCTAAGACGTGCAGCTAATTATCGTTACTGCTGGGCTAAAATCTATTTCCAATACCATACAACTATGTTCTGCTCGTCCTTGAGGAAAAACCCCGACGGAACCCAGATTTTTAAGACTGTTGATTTTTAAGACTGTTGGTCAGTCGAGCTTGGGCAACACAAACAATTTTTTGGCCTAATATCATTTTGAGTTGTAGTAAATCGGTGGAGAATTGTCTATTCCTTCAACCAGGTTTGCATTGGTGATTCTTGCGAAAAGCATGGGAAAGAACTAGTTTTAGATTCAGGCACCATTTTATCCACAGCTGTGTTCTCAGTTTGGTCATGCAGCAGCCATTTTGAAGATGGTGTTGCAAGATGTATACCATCCATTTTCAAAACAATACCACGGATGTCATCAGGAATTGTGCCAAGCAGCCAATCAGCAACCTTGGTTTTTGGATGTTTTTGTAGGCCTGCACTGCCGATTTCTTGTTTACCAAGCAATAACCAATTTGTGTAATCTTCATTACCAACATCAGACATTGTAGATCCATACACCTGATCGGTCGACACATTCGGATCGTGCAATTTCCTACATGAGAGCCAGTCAGTCTCACTGTAATTGGAATGATGGTCAACAACTGTCTTCCATGCGTCAAACTGCTGCAAGTCCTTGTACGATCTACCAACTGTCAAACGAGAGCTCTGCAACCAATCTGTGTTATTGTAGCAGGAATGGTGTTTCTGTACAGTCTTCCATACTTCTGATTCTGGGGTTATGCCTTTACAGTCATCCTCTTTTTCCTTTGACAAATGGGTGCCATCAAAAATCGATTCATCATTCTTTGACTTATGTTCATTTGAATCCAACCAATCTGAGTCCTTACCTGACCGGGTTGCTAGGTACATTTTCAGAGGATTCACACCCTCGGGTTGCATCTGTGATTTGTTGCTTAGCAACCAATCTCCATCATTTTCTGATGTTATTTGTTCAAAAATTGGAAAGTTGCAAGATTCTTCCATTTTTACGGCTAATGATGATATTTGTGGTTGGTTCTTCAATTCAGCAGTGGATTGACCAAAACTTCCGCAGCATTTTGTATCACAGACACACTCAGAAAATGATCCACACACCTCGTTAGCACGGCAGACTACCTCAATACTCGGAAGCATCACCTCCTTCTCATCTTCATGTTTCCCATACTCAAATAAATTTTGCTGCAAAATTGGAGACTTGCTGGTTGACTCGCGCATACATTTCAAGTCATCCAAATTTTCAATCTCAACATTCTAAAAAAAAAACAATGGAAAAAAAAATCATGACGTATAAAATGGTATGTTCATGACAATATATAATAACTATGGTGGCAAAATGTACACTATTATAAAACACGGTATAAATTACATACTAAATTTGATTGGCATATATTTAATTCTTAGTAGTATAAAGGTAAGCGTTACCAGGACAATCTGACTGGTAGAAGTACAGGAATATTAACCAGGGACATAGGTTGGTTTTGGTCTGGGAGGGTGCGAAACAGCCTTGGGGTGCAAAAATTGAGCATGTGGAACTAAATCCCTTCCAAACTTAATGGTCATTTTTAGTATTGTAACCCAGTTAGTGGAACTATCTTGCATCATTGGGGGTGCGTCCACACTCCCCATTTAAAACAAAAGGCAAAGCTTACCTGAACGATTTGACTGGTTGCAGCAGTGCAGGTTGAGGTACATTGACCGGCACAGGACATTATCATCATCTCTTGGTTTTTATCCTCTATTTCTTCCAGTTTTTTCCTTTCTTCATAGCCAGCTAACCACACTCTTATGTCTTTAGGGATATCCCTAAAATATACAAGTTACAATAGAAGTAGCAAATTATTACATAATAATATAATTAGATATTTTGTTTTTACTTGCAGATCAAAAAGAGTTAAGTAAATGTAGGAATAAATCAAGCAAACTGAGCTTGAAAACAATAAATTACATTTTACATTTTCAAATCATTTTCGAAGGCAAAATTAAAGTACTTTCCACACAAAATAGCTGGATTAAAACAAAATTTTCTTTCTTATTAATTATACCATGCAAGTCTCCAAGCATATTATATACATTTTATTTGATAAGCAAAAAGCTATATGTAAAGCACTTACAATGGGTAGAGTGAATTGATTATAATAATAGACCGAATCGGCGGTTTAGGTCACATGACTTATAGTGGGTATTAGGGTTTGTTTACATCTATCGAGATCGCGAGATGACAGTGCATTGAATATGGCTTTACCTTGTTGCTGATGTCAGTCACACCATAGATGTTGCAAATGTTGGTTGGAATGAGAGTTATAATTTGGTAAATCACTTAGACGTGTTGTTACGTACCTTCACAACGTGCATATTGCTCCAATGGAGTCGTCGCCGGCTGTGGTACTTTTTAGGCCTAGGCCTAATTCAAGATTATTATTTATGGCAAATGCTATCGCAGCATAAAAAAAAAAACGAATCTCCCCATTCGTTGCAAGAGTATTATATGTTATTTTAAATCCAAAATTAAATCATAGGATGCTAGTAGTTACTGCCGAGGATGATGATCATCACATGACATAAATAAATATTATTATTACATACTGGCATTAAGATGTACCATACCCGAACCATTCCTTATTATCGCTGGCCTGTTTCCTAGACCAAGTTTGGTTGAGCAATCAGTACCGTAAGGGTTACTTTCTACTTTATTACCTACTCGACTACAGAGCTAGTCGAGGCATAAAAACTCCCTCCCTGGTCCGGGCCCTGATCAAGGCTTACACTACAGTGCAGCCTAGGCCTATACCTGTATGTAGCCTATACTAGCAGCATTCCAGAGCCTAAATAAAATGCATGGAGATTGCCAAAGTAATTATAAATCATTATTTAAAAAAAACGTAGGCCTATGCTTTATTTTACTTTGGGTTGCTGTCTAAAAAACATAACTCTCTCAATATACTGTGTTCAAACTGAGCGCACGGTGGTTGTTTCCATTTAGTACCCACTATATGTCACGAGGCGATAATTCGGTCTATTAATTGTACACACCTGAAGTATTTCATCACAGCATATGGATACGATGCCCCCATCTCATGCTCAAGTCGGATTCGTTCTGGATTCTGGAGCCATTCATTAGTGGGAGATGTTAAGATCATGTTGAAGTATGGATGTCTGACTGCTGGCAATTCAGTCTCTTGGTAGGGGGCGCTTATCATTTCAAAACTTGTACTGTTTACATCACTTTCGGCCATATCATAATCATCTGCATTGTTAATACATTACATTATTATTCTTTTGTGAAATAATGAAAATTAACTTTTGTAACATACAACACTAAATTTTATATTGGTGAGAAATTGGTATTTCTACATTATTTTGATCTCGATAAGCAATCAAATAATTTGGGGTAAATAATTGCTGGTACAATCTGAAGTTCATCCAATTTAATTAAATTCTTCTTCATTTAGCAAATACTGTAAAATCCAAATGTAAGACAGAATGATAAATTTATTTGCTAGTCGTCTTCTTATCGATGCTATACACAAGTTCATACTCTGCTGAGATATGTTGGTATATTTCTAAAACTCAATGATAGGATTTTCGTGTAAAGTGGTGAAAGGATTGGTAGGAACAGGTCTGTGATGTGAACGCTCCTTTCTTGGCTAGTGAAAAGGAGACAAACAATAAAAGCAGCCAGTTTCTAAAGATCAGTTGATGTCAGTTGAGCGTTACTCACCAAATTGCTCTTCTTCCTCTTCTTCAACATCTTGCAAGCTGGTACAGTCTGTTCCCTCTTGTATCTTCTGAAGCCATTCTGAAGGGGATTCATTCCTTCGAAAAGGTGGGAACAGCAGATCACTGTAGGGCTCAGCAGGTGTGTTGGTTGGAGTCTTAATCAGCCAATCTTGATTATCCAATTTTCGTGGTGGCGCTGAATCCTGTCAGACAGAGTCAAATTAGTTTTCATATTTAAATTATTAATTTAAACAGATTTACATACTTAAAATCATAAAAACTAATTATATGAGGCTATTCTGATTTTTCAAATCTTTCATTGAATGGCTCACTAAAAGAATCCAATAAGTTATCTTTTAATAAAACCCAGATCAAAAATAATCAATAAATGAATTACATGCATTGCTATCAATATCAAATTGATTACCACCATTTAAAGGGCTGCTATTATTCATGTTGTTTTTTTTTTGTAGAAAATAAACAGAAGACTTTTTCTTCAGAAGATTCTTTTTTATATTCAAGTGGAAGCTTCATATGATGTTAGCAATTCAAACACTGGATATAATTTTTTTAACCTAATCAACATACTGGACATTTTTCTTTTTTCTCTTTCAGTTCTGTCAAGCTTCGGTACAACTCTCCATGATTGACTTCTCGCACATCAGCCAAGCAGGCCTTTTTGTTAGCACTCTCTGTGTCAATAATAGGTCTCTTGTTTGTCTCTATATGACCGAATCCATAGATTGCATCCTTCAAGTTCTTCTGGTCAGCAGCAAAGTGAATAACACTATTTTCTTTGGGTTCACAACACATATGCTCGAAGCTAATGACAAATATAAATTGGTTAAATTATTATTAGTATAAACCGTTATAAATTAAAACAGGATTCGGACTCAGAACTCTCTGGCTTTTGAAGGCAAGCATTTTTACCATACCTGTAACTGGAACTGTAGTTCAAGACCAATTAAATAATTAGTACATGTTAAATAACAAAATATGTAAATAAAGTTATTCCTTAGACTTAGCCTGGGCCCTGTCCAGACTATCAAATTCCATAGCCCCTTTCAGACAGACGTTGCCGCAATATTGCAGTAAACATGCCGGCATAATAACCAGCTATACCCTTTCACACAGCACCTTTGTTACCGCAATATTACGGTAATCTTACACTTTTCTGTCTGAAAGGGTCCTACAGAATGGCATAATATTGGCAGTTTAAATACCACCGAGCAATTATTTTCAACTAACCTTGTTTGTTAAATGCATAAATGCACACGCCGGCTTGATTGCCGCAATATTGAGTGAACCCTTTCAGACAGAGCAAGCCAGTAACCGTTACCGCAATATTACTAGGGTGCAAGATGGCCCAAAGTAAGCTGGCATATCGGTGTATCGACCCTTTCAGAGAGAAACCCATGCCGGCGTGCTTACTGCAATATTGTGGTATTGCAGCTCTGTCTGAAAAGGGCTTATTTGACAAAACCATGTGACATGCCTAAATATGGTCATGATGACATCCTATCATGACCATATATAGGCACATCATCACTATATATGGGCATACTGTACAGCATTTTTTTCTGAAAGAAAATTTTATAATCTGGACAGAGCTGTAGACTTACTTTTTGATTGTAGCCTGAAGTTCTTTATTGAACTCAACATTTTGAGAAGCTTGACCAGAAGTAGCAAGGAGCATCTGAGATGCACCCAACTCGCGTTGCATTTGGCAAAGCTGTTCATCCAGGATGCCTTCTTTCACATGGTGGATAGTGTCTACTTGATCTAGAAGCCACACCTCACGAGACCTCAGGGCCTCAAGTTGCCGACTGATGCTGGAATGTACCTCACCTTTGACCTATCATTATAAACAACATCAATGATGGTCAAAATAAGTAATTACTACCCATATTCAATTGTAACAGGGCCACTTAAATATTCAGACCATTGTTACTGTATGTAAAGTTAAGACAGGCTCTTAAAAATGGTAGAGGTAAAGCTGTTTCTATACTTCTAGCTTCACTGTTCTTAATGTGTGCTCTACACTTTGGTCACATGACTACCTGAATGAACACACACCAGGTATAAAAAATATTGACAAAATGTAGGGTGCGCTCTAAGCTGTAGTCACATGACCCTTGTGTGCACCTGACCCACGCAGTTATAAAAAAAACTAAGGGTGGAATTTATCATTATGTGGGTTGTTTGGAACCCCAACATAAATGATTGTGGTAGATTCATAACATGTATATTATGGATATTTTTTTTTCTAATTATGAATCTTGACTTGAGTATGTCAAAGTATTACAACTACTGAAAATTACACAGACATAGATACTGCATAGCATGAATTGAAAGTAGCACTTTTAAATTACTGTCAAAAATATTCTGTACAGATAATAAAAATATATAAAATATAAGATGCAAACTGTACCTCTAAGCTGTTTTTTTGTAATTGTTTCTTCACCAAAAGTATGTCTTTTATGGCATCTTGTACATAAGCTACATAGAGCTTGATTGTGGTCAGAGAATCTTTACAACTGGAATCCATTTTCACTTGCTTCAAGGTTCATCAATGCCTGTGTAGAATATCTAATAATAGCTGCTACTGCAAAAAGACAGACATTAAGGGGAATATTTTCAGATGAAATAATTGGTAATCAATTCTCAAAAAAAAGTTTCAATAGATTGAATAGATTTCTCTATTCCATGTTTTAATGTATGTCATCACCATTTACACTACTCTTTAAATCAAATGACCAACAGAAACTAAAACTCTAATCAATTTTAAAAATTTAAATGAATTAAAAAATAACATTCCAAAATCAAAACTAATGATTCTACAAACCTAATATTTAACAGTCAGAGTAATAGTAGAAAAACATTAACACACAAATACTCAGCTAGATAAAGTGACCTTGTTGGAATTAGAAATTGTATAACAGTACTTAGTAATAATAACTTCAGAATGACAAGGCAAAATAGCAACAATACTAAATAATGTTGATTTTGCTTTAATTGGTAAGGAAGTACAATCGGTACTACCTTTCCTGGATATCCTTCATATACATTTAATAAATCTTTCTGACTAAGAGAAACAGCATAACATATTACTTCCCAACACAGCTACGCCTTTACTGGTGGTAATTACAAACACAAACATATTTCAACTAATGAATACTCTTGACTACAAACAGATTCCAAATGATACAATGTAGCCTAATCCAAGTAAGTCATGTATCCTATTCTATAAAACCCAAAACAGATTTTTGACAACACAGGATATAAATTACCACACTAAAGCATATCCAAGAGGTGTGATGAGTGCATACGCACAGCTCCAAATTAAAAAAAAGTCTACATTTTAAAGACAGTCGAGAATGTAGTGAACAAAAACTTTTCCATTACATACATGGGAATTTTAAATATTTACCAGGACTATATTGATTAAGTAGTGCTATACAGTGTAATACCCTCATTCAAACAAGACAAAATGTTACAAACATTTCTTTGCAAATAAAACAACAATGAAACTTCCACCATTTCCAACTGAATTCTGGGTAATGTGATGAAACAATGTTTACAGCCAATATTAACACCGATAATTATTTTGCTTTGGAAGATTTTTGCAGTAATAATAATAATAATAATAATAATAATAATAATAATAATAATAATAATAATAACAATAATAATAATAATAATAAAATAAAAATAATAATAATCTCTTTATTTATGTTGGGCGCTGCAGAATGGTTCGACTTCGTTTATTGAAGCAAGGAAGTAAAAATACTTAACATTGAAAACATCAAAATTGTACAAGAGGAAAACGAAAACCCCAACAAGTTAATGGCAATCATAACCCTGCAAAACAACACATCAATTATCTGTCTCACCGTATTAACATACTAAATCATTAAAGGTATCTAACGTTATAAAAATAGCAAACAGATATAATATTCATTAGCAAGTAACAATTATACATGTATTATAGGATTGGCATTATGGTAAGCATATTTTGGATTACACCCGGGGATGCCTATGTGCATGAACAGAACGAACATGACATCGTTTTTCAAAGTGGCTGATGCATTTAATCAACTGCCCTGTGATCCTAGGCCTATCCAAAACTAGGCCCTAGGCCTATATTCCGGTGAAAAAACCAGACATTACTTGAGCATCAAAGGGAGGGGAACACCCTAATCATAGTTAGGCCTATGCGCCTAGACTTTGGTCTTTACCTCGAGCTAGGCCAGCCTTTGCCTAAACTTTCTTTCTTGATGTCGTAGGTTAGTTTTTGCCCAACAACAACTAATCCAACCAAACACACCCATCACAAGGAAGACCGCCCATTTGTAATGCAATATGTAACAAGCTACTTTTCGCAGCGAGAGTCTCACTCTGTGGTACATGTGAGTCTTCATGCTGTGAATCAATGATCCGATCAGCCCACTGGGCGGGTCTCTGTAGGGACGGACCGTGGTGTTGCCTATTTTTAGCTGCAGCGGCTGTGGAACACGCGAGTCTACACGCTGTGAATTAACGAACGGATCAGCCTACTGGGCGGGTCTCTATACAGACGGCCCGTGGTGTTGTCTATTTTTAACCGCAGTTAGCGAGCTGTTTATTTTTAGCGACAGTAAACAAGTTTAGAGAATGGGCTTTGCATTTTCAACTTTACTGCGACCCAATGTTTGATCTAATCAATTGGAAGAGTTTAGAGTCTGCCAAATTCAGAGCCAATTCCTTTATATTTTGTGAACATTTGTTTTTTGCAAAGTTCTTTTTATGCAGTTAAAATAAATGATGCAACAAAAAAAAAATAAATAAATAAACATTTTTAAAAATTAATAAAATATCAATATTTCCGAAATTTTTGAAGCGGGCAGGAGTGATAATCTAGGCCTAATAAATTTTTCTATTTTCCCTAAAATACCTGTTAACCCTATATATAATAGGCCTTATCTATATAGGCCTACATTGTAAAAACAAAATAATAATTATTTAGAAAAATACTGGAACTAAACAACTCCCTGATCCAAGTTTATGTGAAGGTTTGTACCTCCTTTTGTCCCCAATTCATTCATACCCTATTGTTTACTGAACCAGTGAATACGTCAATACGCCATTATCCACTGGCAACTTGGTCACGTACGCTTTAATTTCCTTCCTTCCCCATCCCCAACTCCAAGATACTGGGCCAAATAAAGACATTCGGAATCCCAATATTCTTTTTGCTTAAATTTAATGAATAAAAAGTATAACGGACAATCAAGCATTGTTAATTTAACCATACGAATTAGCCACATAATAATATTATTGCTTAGCCTAGGCCTACCGTCGTACGTACTTTTTTGTGTAACCGCAACGACTCGTTTCCGACGTTCTCGACCATACCGAGGGTGAGAAAGGATGTGGATTTGTTGGTTGGTTTACAACATTTAAGTAATCAGACTATACCTACATGACATGCACATTATATTATGAAAGACTAATACACTAAGAATAAACACTCAGATCAGTTTAATAAAAAATGTTACTTACCAAACAGATTCCCATACCCACACAAAAGACAAACACAGGCTAGGCCTAGCAAGAGAGTGGTCGTGACGTGACGTTTGATATGATTGGTTGAGTGGGGCTTTAAAGTACCACGTGACCAATCACTGAATTAATATTACTTTCTTATTTTGTCAAAAGATGCACCATCAAGGTACGGTGTGCGCGACACAATGGATTGGTTGTTTTGATTCATTTATTAATTGATTGATCACAAACACCCCATTCTAAATTTAGGTCGAAGAAATAATTATTTTCCCTTTCTCTTTGTGGAAAATTACAAATCGTTTACATCATAATTACGTAATATAAATACTGTCTCTTATACACATCTAGATGTGTATAAGAGACAGATTCCTTGAACATTGACCAAATTAATGCTCTGTTTGCTAGAATACCATACTATCGTCATCATTGGCTAAAAACTTATCAGAAAAATACAAATCGACATTACCGTCCAAGGCAAAGACCCATTCGAAGGAATTGCTCAACAGCCTACTGTAGGCCTATGCTAAGTTTTTTTCTAAGTCGCGTTTTTCCTGTCTCTGATTGCTTTTTACGTAAGGACCACAATGAAAATAAGTTGCCAATTTCGGTACTTTCCCTTTTTCAACCTTTGAAAATGATGTTTCTTGTCGTCTTTGTTTTATATTCATATTCAGAATAAAGAAATAGAAGCCAATACTAAAAAGTGTCAGACAGAGAAACAGTTATGTAGGCCCTATGTATACATCAGAATTTTACACATTACATGCTTGTTATATTTAAAACAAAACTTTGTAATCGTTTTTAATATATCTGTAACCATTCATCTTTTCAATATATTATTGAAGTGTGGGTGTAATTTCCAAATGAATTGATTAATTTTATCCTAATTCCATTAGAATCTTGGACTTAGAAAATGTTGGAATTATTGGCCAGGTGGCGGTTATGATTTTCCCCTATGAACATCAGTCTATGACACTTCAATTGACAAAGGTTCTTGATCACTACACATCCCTGTCAATTTGTGGGATTGAAGGGCCCTTCCATTTGCTGAGGGCCATGGGGCAGTTAAAATCACCAATTCAATTCATAGTTAATCTGTATTGCAATTTGTAAACAAATTGAAGTTTAACGATCCTAATCGGATTCGGAAAAATTACCTAGACAAACAGAAAAAATACCACACAAAAATAAATTTAAAAATTTAATAAACATCTTAAAAATTAAAAAGGAACAACTAAAAAAAATAGAAAAAAATTGTATACAATTACATACCTTAATTATTAAATACAAGATTGATACATTAATTTAGAAAAGGGGAAATTCACATTGGGATGTTAATTCTCATCATGGATCTATTAATAAGATATTATTATTATTATTATTATTATTATTATTATTATTATTATTATTATTATAGGACCATGTTCTCATAATGAGACTGGAAGTGAAGTTGATTTCAGTCGTGAGAAAAAAAAAATCTGTCACGGGAATGAACCCAGATCTACGGGACTGGAAGGTAAGGGAACCTCCAAAGCTATTAAATTCTACTTGCACACAATCTTAAATTCAGGCCTAAGCCTATTGTGATTTTATATTTATTTTTGACTAGGAAGTTTTTTTTTTTGTTTTTTTTTTCTCATTTAGGCCTATTGCCAATAATCACTGAAGCAGGCACATTTAAAAAAAATGTACAGGTCAATATGTCTATCTGCTGATATTATAAACGTTGTTATTTCTAACGATGACGTGCCTCGTAATTCAAAATTGAATCCAGTGCTTTCATAAACATGGGCAGATTTCCAAATTCGTTTCCAGTTCATTTCTTCCGTATCAATACATCGCTGTTTTGCCAAGAACTGAATTCCTTTTGAATTACTGTACTAATTTTTTCGTCTATAGTTTCAAAGTTCTTTTCTTGATTGCCAATGAATTTTTATTTTATTTTATTCATTCTGGCAATACAAATAACAATATAAAACATTACAAATACAAAAAAAATCAGAAATTCACAAACATAAGGGTAATTAGGTGATAATAATAATAATAATTATTATTATTATTAGGCCTAATAATAATAATAATAATAATAAGCAAAAAATGTCAATCAATTAAATATCATTAAAACATATTTTATGATGAAGAATGAATGAATTTCGAAATTAAATCATGATAGCTTGTATCACTTTCTTCTGTTGCTTATACTGTCTTATGAGTATTTCTACTAATTGAAATGAATTAAAAATGAGAACAAGGAATTCCCTATGATACGAAAACTTAGATAAATAGGATAAATACATAAATATAAACACCTGGAAAGCCAGCATAGACTACTGACGAAAGCTTGTGTAATAAATAACTGAAGTTAGTCTATCTATAAAGTCACTGCTACCAGTGACATTTCCAACTACTGTATATATTAAGAATTTGTTGGATAAGACCCATTTAATAACGGATTTGAGTATTTTAATGGAGTCAAAAGTGGAAGAAAAATTACGCAACCAAATAAGTTAGGGTCTTTACGAACCAATATTTTCGTAACGGGTCCGGTATACAAAAAGTCATGTCAAATTCCTGTTCTATAGCCAAAAGTTAGTCTAGATATCAATTTTCAGTTAATTATCTTTATTCTATTTGAAGATATGGCTAATTGAAAATGCAACTTTACAAATATGTCATAATTGAGAGTTAGAAAGGGGTACGACCTTAAAATTTCAAATGGCCGTAACTTCTAAACGACTTGGAATTGGCAAGTCAAATTTTGGGTTTGTTCGTCAGACATGTCGGTGCACATTATATCCGAGTTTCAAGAGAATCTGAGACGGTACCCAGCCATCCCATTTGTTGAGTTGGCACGGAATGACCCAGGTGTGTGTGTATTATATTAACTAATTCCTCCTTGATTATATATTAATTATAAAAAAATACAATAGAATAATCATAATTCTTATGTATTCATTGTAAATACTCTCATATACAAAGTATATTCTTAAATAGAGAAATAACAGGATTAAAACAATATCAGAAACACAGTTCTTTCAACAGATGCATATTCATAGTAGTCATTGTCATATACATAGTAGTCATAGTCATAGTAGTCATAGTCATAGTAGTCATAGTCATAGTAGTCATAGTCATAGTAGGTCATAGTCATAGTAGTCATAGTAGTCATAGTCATAGTAGTCATAGTAGTCATAGTCATAGTAGTCATAGTCATAGTAGTCATAGTCATAGCAGTCATAGTTATAGTAGTCAAACCTAAAATTTGCATGTGTCTTTCAAGTAGTGGTTGTAAAATGGAATTGGATGTAATATACAGTAGAATATTTTGTAATTTGGAGTGTTGTAAATAAGAGGTTCATCTGAACTAAATAATTAAACAAAACTAAAACCCAAATATTTGATAATAATTTTTGGTACATTTGCACATATGTTTTGGTTTTTTTTTCTTCTCTGTTGTTGTTAAGCGCCTCGAGGTTGTGTCAACGTGAGGCGCTATATAAATCCAGAATTATTATTATTATATAATAATTCTAATTTTTAAGAGGCATTCTCATCAAAGAGTGAATAATTCACCACTTAGAAATCATAGAAAAAATGCTGAACAAAGGACAAATTGTAAACAATTCAATGTATTCCTGATGATGACATAATTAAATATGGAAATATTAAATCCCGCTGCTTACTTGGACTCGAATTCAACCCTGGCCATCAGGCGCAAGCTTGGTGGTCTAGAGGTATGATGCCAGGCTAGTGATCTGGAGATTGTGGGTTCGAGTTCCACCCCAGAACAACTTGCGATTTTTTTTGCAGTTGTTTTCAAATGTACTGAATATTCGGTTCATTTCCACGTCAGGTAGGGCAAAAAAATTACACCTATAAATATTAAAATCCCAACACGACGACATGCATTTAAATGCTTGGGGTATTATGTTGTGTCCATCAATATTACAGAGTATACACACACACACTGTGATGGATTTTACTACATAGCCAATGTGTAGCATGCACATTGGTTTACAGTGTAATGTAACATTATCTGAAATGATCAATATGGTAAACAAACCAATGATTCATTGCACAACCATACTGCTTTGTACATACAGGTCTCCCTCCAATTAAAGACCACTTTTGGGACTGGGATTTCCATGGTCCTTAGCAGCTTTGGTCTCTAATTATAATAATAAAGACAAAAGAAATTTGTTAATTTGGGACCACAGAATAGTGGTCTTTAATTGGAGGTGGTACTTAACTGGAGGGGTCTTTCATTGCAGGGATACCTGTAGCTTTTTTGGGGTCATACTGTATTGTAGAACTATCCACTGAAAACATTTTTCATTTTCTGTTTTAGGCCCAAGGTTAAAGATATACTAAACAGCAAACTTAATTACATAAGTTACATAAAGTATTCCTTTATATATAAACATACACACAGGATGCTCTACATCACAGGTGGGCAAAGTGCAGCTAGTGGGCTGCACGCGGCCCGACAACGATATTTTGCGGCCCCAATGCACTCAGCCTACATTGCATTTGTGTTACATAATGCACTGCATATCTATGGTGTTAGGCATCCATTGTACACTACATCCATAGAGTATGGCATTTCCATAGTACATTGTATCTATGAATATTTGTAATGCTCTGCATATTCATGATGCACTCTGACTGAATTTCTATTGGGATAAAATATTTATAGTGTGTTGGGATATGATTCTGCAATCATAATCTGAGAAATGAAATACTCATGACACATATCAAATCCATGGCTAAATATACCTGGTGCATTAATTATAGAGGGATACTAATACAAACTCAATATTAATATCTGGTTTTTTTTTTTCTGACTTTTTCATAGACTACTTTTTCATCCAGTAGCAATAAACAAATGTTATCTGAAATTTCTTCAAATAATTTGGTACATTCTCATCTTTTTCGTTTACATAGACCACCTTCACCTTTTTTCAAGTTGTTTGAACTTCAGTTCTGTTAATGAAAAAGAATGAAACAAATAAATCTACAACAATCTGATGTATAGTTGCCATTATAACTAAATTTTATACATTAATTGAACATTTTAACACAATATTATGCAATTACATACTTTTTAAGCTGTATATTAATATATTAATTTATATATTTTTTACTGATAATTAATCAATTAATTAATTTTTTTGGCTGTTTTGTCACCACACCTTATTATATTATTGTAAAGTCATCATGGTTTTTGTTTTATAATTTGAAAGCACATAGAGGCACTGAGCAATGTGCACTACACAAATGTATATTATTATTATTATTACGTGTCCTACTTCAAACTGAAATTTTGACTGGGTCCCTGGAGACTTGCAACAGCAGATCAGAAACAAATGTAACAGATACATTGTTTATTATCCTGAATAACTCCCAAGTGACAGTTAATTAATCGAGGAAATGAGAAATTAAACTCCAATTAAAACTGGATGCTAGCCAGGGTCTACATCCAAATATTCAGTTCACAAAACGGGTTTCTGATTCTTAACAAACTAAAAACAAACTACAAACTGAAATTAATATTTGCTTACAGACAAGAGGTCCTAGTTATTTAAATACTAAACGTGATTGGTATACAGTATTAAGCTACATTAATACTAGACACGACAACGACATATCATCGCGTCATTTATATTCTTCAACACTGAGCACATTTTTATCGTGTCGTTATCGTGTAAAAGTAGCTTTATTCAAAGTCTCTTACCTAATCTTCTGGAATAGGCATCTAATCTATGAGCAGCTTGCTCCAAGTTGACCACACTTTCTTCTACTTGATCTATTTGGTCTAGAAAAGGTTGAAGGTTTCGATCTACATAAAGAAAGGTCGTTCAATAATCAATCATGTCACGTAAACAATAACATATATAACGATATACCAATGTTATGAAATGCTCATCCCAAGTGTTCAGGCATACTTGCACTCTATAGGCTACAGAAAATCAGAAAACTAATTGCATATTCCAACAACTAATCCACTATACCATTTGATGATGATGATAAAGATGATGAATGTGATTGTGTTGGTGATGATGATCATAGATGACTTGAATTTCTCATTTACTGTAAATCTCTCAGGGCTTTATTTATATCTATCCCAAGATCCTTCATTTAACTGTACTTGATGATGATGATGGCGATGATGATGACATTGATGATGATGATAGCGATGATGATGATGATAATAATCATAGATTGACTTACATTTCTCATTTAAATCTGTCAGAGCTCTATTTATATCTATCCCAAGATCCTTCATTTAACTGTACTTGATTGATGATGATGATGGTGATGATGATGACATTGATGATGATGATAGCGATGATGATGATGATAATAATCATAGATTGACTTACATTTCTCATTTAAATTTGTCAGAGCTCTATTTATATCTATCCCAAGATCCTTCATTTAACTGTACTTGATTGATGATGATGATGGTGATGATGATGACATTGATGATGATGATAGCGATGACGATGATGATAATAATCATAGATTGACTTACATTTCTCATTTAAATCTGTCAGAGCTCTATTTATATCTATCCCAAGATCCTTCATTTAACTGTACATGATGATGATGATGATGGCGATGATGATGACATTGATGATGACGATAATGATAATGATGATGATAATAATCATAGATTGACTTACATTTTTCATTTAAATCTGTCAGAGCTCTATTTATATTTATCCCAAGATCCTTCATTTAACTGTACTTGATGACGATGATGATGGCGATGATGATGACATTGATGATGACGATGATGATAATAATCATAGATTGACTTACATTTCTCATTTAAATCATTCAGAGCTCTATTTATATCCATTCCAAGACCCTTCATTTAAATGTACTTGATGATGATGGCGATGATGATGACACTGATGATGATGATAGCGATGATGATGATGATAATAATCATAGATTGACTTACATTTCTCATTTAAATCTGTCAGAGCTCTATTTGTATCCATTCCAAGACCCTTCATTTAACTGTACTTGATGATGATGACATTGAGGATGACGATAATGATAATGATGATGATAATAATCATAGATTGACTTACATTTTTCATTTAAATCTGTCAGAGCTCTATTTATATCCATTCCAAGATCCTTCATTTGACTGTACTTGAGTGAGGTGACACGATTCTCT